TTGATCAGGACAGGCCCCCATTCCAAGAACCAACAATCCTCATAAGAGGAGGGACTTTTGGACAAAAGGAGAACACCATGTGAAGATGGGGCAGACCACAGAATGATGTGACCAGAAGCCCAAACCACCAAGGACTGCCAACTTCAAGAAACTGGAAGCATGGAACAGAGTCTTCCTCAGACACTCGGAAGCGAATCCTTGGACACCTTGATTTTATATTCATTAACTCCAGAACTGTGGGGGGATATACTTGTTGTTTTAAGCCACATAGCCTACAATTTATTACGACAGCCCTCAGAAGATAGCAGTGACTCACTAATGGCTATGGCGCTCAGGTATTTTGCTACCTAAGGAACTAGAATAACATCCTTTGACTTTCTTTCCTTTTCCTCCTTCCTTCCTTCCTTCCTTCCTTCCTTCCTCCCTCCCTCCCTCCCTCCCTTCCTTCCTTGGCATCCAATCTTGTTGTATACTCCTGGCTGGCTTGGAACTCGCTATGTAGACCAAACTGGCATCAAGGTGATCCTTCTGCTTCTGCCTCCCATGCACTGGAATTAAATCACCATCTCTGGCCTAAAGCATCATACTTCTAAAACCTGTCCTTTCTCTTTGCGCACAGAACTGCTGTTTGCTGAATTTTCTCTAACTGCAAGTCCATATTCCAGTGCAATGAAGTCAGCTAAATTGGAAATTAATGGCTATCTAAACATTTAGACTTCCATAGGAAATTCCACTTAGTACAGCAAAACTTCTATCACTCTTGGCCTGTCAGCTAAGATAGCAACAAACCTGTCTCACCATCGGTATTTCCTCTGGTGCAACTCTTTGAACTGTGTGTGTTTTCCCTCCGATCTTTGCTACAGATTAAAATCTGGTATAGCTGGATCTGATTGGAAGCTCAACACACCCAGGGCGAGAGCACTGGAGACAGTGTCACTACATAGGTTATCTTTTCCTCTGGAAGATGGTAAAAAATTAAGCTAGTTGTTGTGGCTTGAGTTGGGTCTCCATACCCCCTTCCCCCCAAAAGAACCATCCACTGAAGCCCCTAACCAGTGTCTTTGTTCGGAGATGATGCCTTAAAAGAAGTGATTAAGGTTGGGATAGTCAAGGCTGGAGATTAAAATAGCATTGTCAGGGAGATGTAATCATAAAATTCTATGATTTGGTGTTCCCATAAGAAGAGATCAGCACAGACATCCAAAGGAAAGACCTGTGAGGATCTGGAAGGCAACCATCCACCAGCCAAGGCAAGAGGCCTTACAAGAGACCCACCCGCTCAGGCTTCGACTTTAGATGCCCAGCCTCAGAACTGTGAGAAAATGAATTTTTGTTGCTGAAGTCACTTGATCTGAGGTGTTTTGTGATGGAAGCCCTAACAAGTTAAGGCAGGAGCCACAGGCTGTGGGAGAAAGACATTGCTTTGGCTTACCAGCCTGCAGTATCTGTCTGTAAAGCCTGTACCCGCTTCTGTAAACATGGATATGCCCTAGAGTTGGCATTAGTGATGGCTTTGTGGGTGAGGATTTTCTTTGTACATTTCTATTGTTTGATGTGTGCATGTGCGTGTTATGTGTATGTGTGTATGCACATGTATGCCACTACACACAGGTTTGGGGTTGAGTAATTTGTATTTTCCCACCCATAGGAGCTATAGTTGTTTCTTATATGGGAACATCCTTCTTTGTCAGCAACTGGGATATGCCACGGGGTGGCAGAGGATTTCTGGACAGGCTTGTCTTGAGGCCCCCATTGTTTCTTGTGGCGCTCATCTTGGAGGCCCACCGGTTTAATCTGAAGGATGCTGAAGTCTTCCAAGGCCAAGACACTGACATGGCTGAACAAATGAAATGCAGAAAACAAACAACAAACAAAAACAAATGAGCAAAACGTATTGTATGAAATTCACAAAATTCAACAAAAAATGAAAAAAAAGCACCAGATTAGAGAAGGCTGAATAAGAGTTCATAAGCCAAAATACAAAGAAAACCCCCAAACCCAACCCCTAAAACCCCAAACATTAAAAAGAAAAAAAGAACTGTATATGTGTACTCAGGAGGGACTCAGAGCGCCACACCCAAGGAGCCGAGAAGCACTTGCCCTGATTCAGAGGGGCATCCTGGTACCTATGCAGCAATGCCCAGCACCAACTGAGTTGGTAACCACCTAAATATGATGAATGCTGTTCATGCTGTGGCCTAAAATCCATACCAGACCATGGGTTTTAAGTTCAAATGAAAAACACCGAATTTTAATTATGCCACAGGAAGTGACTTTAAATATCATCATTGTACTTACACGAGAAAAACAGATTGAAAATGTTTGGCTCTGTATCAGGACCCTTATTTTATTAATCACAAATGTCTTCCTGTGATCCCCTTAGAGGGCTCTGGGATGGTTTCAAGATGGCAATTTACTGTTAGGATGAGAACTGGGTTGGCAGGCACTAGGTGTCCAGGACTTAAGGGACTGAATTTCAGCCATACCGCATGGGGTTCTTGGCATCTTAAGCAACCTTTTTTTCCAACCATGTAGCCAGAGGCCTGAGAAGATACAGTGGGGTTCAAACTGAAATCAGGTGGAGCTTACAGGTGGCCTCTGTGTGCTCAGTGACACCACAGGCTTCTCAGATTGGGGAGGTACCTATCATGGAATGTACCTATCATGGTACGGAGCAAGGAAAGGTCCCAAAGGTGTTAAGTGTGCAGGACAACACAGAAAACTTATCAGGCTGTGGAAGGGTAGAGGCAGGTTCTTAAGACAGCAGGAACATGAGAATGTTCCAAACAGCAGTTTGGGCTGTTGCCTCACTCTGGGAGCCCTAGGCTGTCTGGTCCTGCAAGCCAGATTCTACCTCCTGGCCAGAGGAGGGCAGGTATTCAACTGGATCCACCAGGCATTGTCTGGGTGAAAGAACAACCTGCCTGGCTCCTTCTTCCTGCCTGAGGTTATTATGCTCAGCCTTCTCTAGCTCCCCAGTGAGACTGGCTGTACCTTGAGGGGGAACTTACCAGAAGCTTCTCCCTGTTGCTTCAACTTTAACTCTTGGCTTCCAAGACTTGTCTGGCTGTGACCATTTCTAGTGCGATGAGTTCTGCATAAGCAAACACTAAGTGGATGCTTTGTTCACTTGCCACTGATTTAAACTATACATTGAGCAGACCTAACTGCAAAGAAAGCTGGGAAATATAATTCTCACTCGGGCAGAGGCCAGCCAAAATTCCAAGAGCTTGAGCCTAAAGGGGGAAAATGCCATAGTAACCATCCTGTAAGAAGATAGCCACTGTAGGGACAGAGGAGGGCTTTAGAGATACAGTGAGGGAGGCATAGCTCAAGAAAGAGCACAAAACTAATGGCTGTGCAAGTGTCTCTGTAGTAAGATGAATCTACTGGGTCTATGCCAAGGAGTTGGTATGATCAGATCATATGGTAAATTTATTTTTAGTTTTTAAGAGTTCTTGATGGGCCCAGTGGATGGACTCACACCAATTTGGGAACACAAATCAGACTCTGTAGGCCATATTAAATATATGAAAGTATATTAAATTGGGTGGGGGATGGTGGGGGGGAGATGTGGACAGGGAGGGAATCTAAGTACAATCAAACTATATTGTATAAAAGTCACAAAATTCAATAAAAAAGTGAATTAAAAAAAGAAAGTGGCGGGAGCTGGAAGATGTGCAGGAAAGGGTAGACATTTAAGATAGGGGCAGTAAACTATACCCTTGTAGCCCGTTTTTGTAACATTTTAAAATAACACATACACTTATGGTTTTTATCGGCCATATCTATGTTACATATATGTATCGTGTGTTCCCCCAAGATGCCATCCATCAAGTGAAGACAATCAGTGGGCTGCTAGAATTCCCCAGTGACTAGAGATAAGCATCATGAGAACCAGGAAAATCAGGCAAAACCACAGGGAGCTGGGAGTGTGTGAGTGCGTGCATGTGTGTGTGCACGTGAAAATGCCTGAGCCGTGGAAGGACACAAAGGCAATGGTCAAGTCAGTCTTCAAAGTAGTGGGGATGAAACTAGCAGACTGAGTAAGTGTAGCTTAGAGATGTGTGGAATTCATTCAAGGAAAATATTTGCAAAGGAGAAGTGTTGCAAAGGAGTTTCCTTTTCCTGTGGGGTTGAAGAAAACCAAAGCTTTAAAGCCCATCTTCCATGTGTTAGCAGTGGGAGACACTAAAAAATAGAGAGAAAAGTTAAAGAGTTGAACGACGGAGTGTCATTTAGTTGGCTTAAGTAACTGGAATTTTTTAAAAAGTAGAATTCAATAACTAATTTCTCAAAAAATAAGGGATGATGTCCTTCAAAAGAATTGTGTACTACGTGACCTAATTTGTCCAATTGTAAGACTTTCATGGGTAATTAACAAAAATCCATTCTTGTACATTTAGGAGCACACCAAACAGAGGAGAGCTTGCCCATTTGGGGGTGGGTAGTATTCAAGTATGTACAGAGGCCTGGACTGTTTTATGTGTATGAGTGTATTGCTTGCATGTAAGTGCACCATATTGTGCAATGCCCTCAGAGGTCAGAAGAGGGCGCTGGATTCCCCGAAACTGGAGTTATGGGTGGTTGTTAATTATCATGTAGGTGCTGGGAATTGAACCTGGGTCCTCTGTAAGAGCAGCCAGTGCTCTTAACTGCTAAGCCATCTCTCCAGCCTTCATTTTGTTTTTTTAAAAATAGCATCTCACCATATAGTCCAGACTGGTCTCGACCTTACTGTCCAGCTGTCTCTGCTTCCTGTGTGCTAGGATTATAGGCATTCACCACCACACCTCACCAGAACAGTGACTGTTAGGTCTGAAAAACTGAGATCCTAAACAAGTGACTGAGGAAGTGTGACACAGTCTGTCAGCTCTGCACTGTGGTGATTTAATGCTGGAAAGCAGTGGAATAATCATGGAACACAAGCCCAGATTTCATCCACAGGCATCATACAGACTCAGAACTACTCAAGGAAGCCACACACAGACCCTGCTTTGAAGCTCCTTTTTATTGAAATGACTCACAACTGTGGTCTTGCATGGAAAGGCCTGGTGTAAAGCTGCCCCTTTAGCTGTAGGATGTCATGCTCATGTTGGCTTGACAGTTTCCCATTACTGCTGACTCAACATGAATTACCCACAGCACACACACACACACACACACACACACACACACACACACACATCAAGTGTGCTTCCATGTGTTTCTAAGGACCAAACTCCAAAGGCTCCATTCACACTATCTCTCAGAATCAGGCCCGGAGTGCCTCACGTCTGAGGTTAGACTCCCACCAATAATCAGGTGACCCGTCACTTAATGCTCATCCTTACAAATCAGAAAGCTTCACTGAAATGTGTGCTGGGATAGGCATCTGAGAAAATAACTCCACTTCCAACTGGGGAGCATTTCTGTCTCTGAAGATCTCTCTGTTCTGAATTTGTTGGTGGTATCGAGCAGGGTTTTCTGTGATTGCTTTTGCCTTCTGCTTCCAAACACCAGACAGATCACGGACAAGCTGATGGGAATCCGAGAGGTGGACGTGCTGCAGGCTTCACATGTTTTTTGGTGAAAATGGATTCTTTTCAACAGCACCACTATGTCAACCCTGACCCAACAATTACTTCACTTGGAAGAAAATCTACAGTTCATATTTGTTTTAAAAACCTCTGACTGTGGTAAAAAGGTATATATACAATTTACTATACACAAAATATATCCTTTCTATAAACTGATTTGTGTTTAGCACACTCCACATATGGAAGTAAGTTAGGAATCAGCTATGACATCTGAATAGCTGTCTCACAGAGAAGTATATCCAATGGAAACAAACACTCCATATGTTTTCGGGTCTAAATAGAAATTCAGTATAAAAAAGCAAAAAGCAAAAATAAGCAGGGAAGGGAACAGTCATCCTTGACTAGTGATGGACACATGGATTACAAACGTGACTGTTCATTCCTAACAAAGCACTTGCCAAGACCAATGGCACTGTATTCTTGGTGCCTGCCTGAGTTGCTACCACACTTCCTCCTGGACTTGGAAAGTTCTAGAAGATTCAGAAACTATCTGAAGTCTGGAATCCTTTCCACTTGGACTGTCTTGATGCTGAAACAAATATCAAACAACATTTTAGACTGGTTTTGGATTATAGAAGAAACCAGGAATACAGAACCCTAATGGCTTTGCCAGAAAAGATGAAAAAATGTCAGAAAACCTTGCTCCAGGATGACGGACACCTGGCTTTGTTTCTATCATCTCCTTGTTGGTTTAGATTTTAGTTTCTGACATGGATTTCTTTTTTTCAACAGAATAAACACAGAAATGTTTGCTGTAAAACAGTGTTTAAAAATATCAGAGTATCTAAAAATCTCTTCATTCCATAACACTCAATGTGCATGTTAGTGCAGGGTATTTGAAGTTTATTTTTTTACTGCATTTAAAAACATGCTATTTTATGCTCCACATATAGACACTGTTATTATGTATATATGTATCTACATATACACATGAACACATATCTAGTCATATAGTACTGGAGTCTATGTAATTAAAACCGTGCTCTATGTCCTATACATTTACTTATATTTTCCAGTGAATGTTAGTATTCACTGATTTAATGTTTAAACTAAAATCTATAGTCCTATAGATTCATTTAAATGAAAGTATTAAACTTACCTCAAGTAATTTCAACTTCCACTGTTAATAACGTGATGGGCTAAAAAACAAAGAAAATATAGAACTGTAACACTCAGGGCTAGGCTGTGGGTAGGTTATCACCTCTGTGCCAACAGGCAGGATGTGACTGAAGTTATAGATGGATACAGACCACACCTCAGGAAGTTTACTGAGGGAAAAGTGTCAGTTAAAGCATGGCTGTCAGCATTTATTTGTACTGCATTTGAAAGGGCATGATAAGGACAGAGACAAAGATGCATATAGCTGAAAATTTACATTCTACAATTAACAGGTAAGAGTCACTAAGAATCTGTGTAAAATACATCAGAGCCTCAGAAACTAGATGGCAGCAGGTGGCTCCTGTCCATGAATGGTTTTCTGAAGCCTGACTCCAGGACCAGGGAGCAGAAGCCTATGGAAGTCTGCAGGGATCTTGCTGGATGGAAGCCTATTACTGTGAATTCATAGGTGTAAGTCCAGATGTGCACATGTCCTCTAAGTGGCTCTCGGACTAACAACCAACACTAACCCCATCATCCTCTGAAGTTTCTCCATGATTAAGCCCTTGCCCACCAAGAATGATCTAGGAAAGGGGAGGCAGGAGAATTCCACCTGGAGGGTGTTTCAGGTCTGGTGCACCCAGATGGCCACACAGTGGGAGAGCCTCCAGGCACCTTCCATAAGGCCTACCCAGACCAGGCATGTACAGATTAGGAAGATGTAGCTACCTTAGCATTTGCTGGGATCCACCTGTTTCTTCCTCTGGTTGAGGGCCCTTCCCACTTCTCCCAAAGCATCCCCAGGCACATGGCACAGAGAATACCCTCTACAGTTCAAGTGATAAGGGAAAAGTTGAAAGACATGTTTCATAGGGACACTATGGTGTATTTTTTCCTCAACACTGTTAACATCTGAAAGAAAATTGTCAAGCGGGGTGCAGTGGTTAATGCCCATAATCCTAGTGCTTGGGAGGCCGAGGCAAGAAGATGGTTGTGAGTTTGAGGACAGTGTGGGCTATACAGTGAGTTCCAGGAGAGCCTGGGCTACAGAGTAAAAACCTGTCTCAAAACAAAACAAAATAGAACCCTAAAACAGAAAACAACCCCCTCAACCCCAAAACAAACAACAACAGCAAAAAGTAAGGGGGGGAGTTCATAAAAAGTCAGACTGATCTTTCTAGTGAAAACGGCCCTGGTGACATCATGTGCCTTTGATTTGTTACTGTCAACATGGTAGTGTTTAGGGGGAAAATGGGAAATTCTTCACACTTCTCTGCAGTCTTCCTTCCTCTGTGGTGAGATCTGACACCCCTGGACTTTGGAAGAAGAGCCGAAAGGAGAGTGCAACCCTTAGCTGAGCCCTGCCTAGCTGTGGGACCTTGACCATGACTTTTACAGCCACGAGTCCATCTGTAAGAGGGAGGTGTCTAGAAGACCCTGTGGATAATGTAGGGCATGTCCTGTCCTAATGCCCGGGCAGCTGGACTGGCACACGGTTGGTGCTCAGCCTTTCTGGTCCCCCAAAAGAAGCTTTCTGTCCTCATTTCTCAGACCAGAGCTTCACAGAGTAAGTGTGTTCCCCTCCACAGAAAAACAATAACCCCTCCCCCCAAAAACCCTACAGAAATTCCTAAAGAGAAAGGTACAAGTACCATGTTGGGAAGTTGAGCGGATCCCTAGAATCCCAATTTGATGGGACCTAGAATGACCATAAAAATACACCTCTAGGCATGTCTGAGGTTAGGCTAATCAGGGTGGGAAGACCTGCCACAGGCTAAACAAATGAGAAAAAGCTACTGAGCACAAGCATTCATCACTCTGCTGCCTCACTGCAGATGCCACGTGGCCAGCCAGCTGCCTTAGGTTCCTGTCACCATGCCTTCCCCACCATGATGGACTCACACTTTTGAACTGTGAACCAAAAAAACCCCTTCCTTAAGCCACTCCTTGTCACAGCAGGGAGAAAAGTCACTAGCACACTTCCTCGGAGGAAACTGCCTCCCCTACGTGCAGACTTCGTGTGGGAGGCAGAAACAGCCCTATGTAGAATGTTCCAGGCATCAAAACTTACAAGAAAGCTCACCGCTTTTTTCCTTAAACAAAAGCAAATGACCCAGCACATCCCATGCAATGGATTCACTAGACGTTGTGAGTGCACAGGCATTGAATAACGCAGACAAGGAAAAGGAGAGACAAACTACTTTGTGAAGCGGAGCTCACCACTTTATGCTTCCTATTTATGGAACTTTTCCTCAAGCAGCGCCCCGTGAAGCAATAGCTGTGGTCAAACTGTCCCTAACTTGCTCAGTGTCAGTGTCCTGCAGGAGGCTTTTATTAAAGAGTCTAGCACCTTCTTGGAGCGCTGACCCTTTTGCTCTCAGAACTAGCTTTGTCCTGGTTACAGGCAGAATCACAGTACCATTACCACGTTGAAGGGAGGAGGTACCCAGGCTTATGTTACAGGCCTCTCCTAGGGATGGTCTCTATCATCTGAGGCTCTATGGGTGTAACGCAGGGAGACTGAGAGGAACTGGCTTGGCTATAGATTAACTAGGTGCCTTTCGACTCACCTTTGGATTCTATCAGAATTGACAGGGTAATAAGAAGACAAGGGCATTTCCATTATCATGAACTAGACTCTTAAATAAGATTTCTAGTGGTATAGGAGTAAAAATGTGACCACTGGCGGCTCATTTGATGCTCACAACTTCTAGGCAAGCAGGGCTTCTATTGGCCCCCTTTAAAGATAAGGAAACTGCTAGATGTGGTGGCACACACCTTTAATCCCACCCAGTATGTGGGAGGCAGAGGCAAGGGGGTCTCTGAGATTGAGGCCAGCCTGGTCTACATAAGGAGTTCCAGCTCAGCTGGGGCTACAGGGAGACCCGGTCTCAAAATAAAAGATGAGGAAACTGAGGCTTAAGGGCATCGTTAGCATTTCTATAATGACACAGGTTGCAGAGTGAGGACTGGACCCAGAGATGATTTCCTAGTGTCCCTGGGGTTCTAAAGTGTCTCTTACTCACCTCTTGAAAATAAACCAGTGCTCTGATCTGAATCTAACTGTGTATTCCTACTGCCCAGAAGAGCAGGTTACCCAGGAGTCCTGCCAGGTTCCCACAGGACAGTGGGCAGCTCAGGAAGGAGGGGTCAGTCCTGGTGCAACTGTCACTAAGACAGCTGTTTCAGGGAAGAGGAGGAGCTGGCAAATATTCTCTTATTGAAGAAAGTATTTTCAACCTGCCCTTGGAGCTATCCTACAGGAAGCTCAAAGGAATTCAGCTTCCCAATGAAGTGTGGATGAAGGACCTCCAGCCCCACCCCAGTCCTTGCTGCAGTCTTCACAGGAGTGTTGGAGCTGTGTCCTTGCAAATCCTCCAAAGGTATACCACAAGCAGAATTACCACAAAAATCACCCACGACATCACGTGTTTAAACAGCCGGAGTTTTTCATCTGATTGGAACCCAAGATCAAATGCTCATTAGAATGACATCTGATCATTCATTAGAATGACATCCGCTTTTCATGTTCTAGCTCGTGGTCATTTCCTTTCCCTCTGCAGTAACTCAGATCCGAAATACGGTGAGGCTTGTCATGTTCCAGTTGTACAGGTATGTACTAGTAATCCAGGAGAACCACTATCCTGGAGAACTAAGTGTTCTACTCTGGAGACAGCAGGCCCATGGCACTGAGTAGAGACTCTGTTCTTGTGTTACTGAGATTTTAAGAGGATATATGCCCGTCCTTTGCATCTGGGGGCTTAGACCAGTGCACAGCAAGAGGGATAATGGCAACTAAATCCTGCCTTTTCTCAGCACTCAGTTACAAGGATGAAGATTACTTAATGCTCAGTCGGCATGTCCAGCCCATGACCAGTGGGCTGTACCCCAGGATAGCCATGAATGAGCCCAACACAAAGTTGTAAACTTACTTTTTTCTTTGCAATTTTTTTTTTTTTTGGTCTTTTGGAAACAGGGTCTTCCTGTAGCCCCAGCTGGCCTGGAACTTGCTATGTAGACCAGGCTGGCCTCCCATTCACAGAGATCCACCTGCCTCTGCCTCCTGACTCCTGGGATTAAAGGCGTGTGCCACTATACCCAGATTTCTTTGCAATTTTTGTTTGTAACTTGACTGTGCAGTTCTTAAGCATCAATTCTGCAGATGATAGCCAGTGTCACAATGTCAAAAGGTTGGACACAACTGGTGGCTTTGACATCGTTTCTAAATGGCAAAGGGTCCACGGTGACACAGCTGAGCGAAGAGGTTCCTGGTCCTCAGAGACTGTCTTACCACTGGCAAACAGTCCTCTCTTTCCGTGGCAGAAGCATTTCGCAGATGCGGCACACTCTACCAGGCCGATCAGGACCTCCCCCACACCTGTGGCAGCGCATCTTCACCTTATTCTAAGACAGGTTTGTAATCAACAGGGAAGTGTGGTCAGCAGATGGTGCTGCTGCCAGAGTCCCTATGGCATGGCTCTCCTGCCAAAATTCTCTACCCGAGGGCCTCCACCTTCCCAGGTGGCCCAGATCCCATGATTGAGGGAAGTGAGGTCCAAAGGCTTCATTTGGCCCATGATGGCAATTCCTGACAGGCCATGCTTACTCCAGAGTTCCCTACAGGTAGGCTGAGGCTCTGTGAGTTTTCCTGGACATTTCCTTCTTCCTTCCACAACTATGGATCCTCATAAGCACCTTGTACCCCAAACTCCATCTTAGCACTGCTGCCAGAAGACCCAAACGACCACTCCCTCCAACACACGCTAGCCTCTCTCCAGCATCCTCCAAGCTGAAGTTTTCTGGTACAGAGAGAATTTGGAGATGTCACATTCAGAAGGCAAGTACAGGAAGCCAATTCTAAAAACTCAGCAGTCCTAGAAGAGCTGATGTTGGGCTAGCACTGGCAGTAGGGAGCTTTCCTCTGACCCGAAAAATTCCAGTCTATGAATGGAAGCCGTCCTCCAAGCTTGCCGCTCCATGACAAGGGAGGCCAGTGTATAACGAGGGCCACAGTGTCGTTCACTTGTCCTGGAATAAACCCGGTGAACTGATGCTTGTCCTGAATCAACCTCACAACACAGCACTCCTGCAGTTCAGCATACTGGAGGAAAGTAGCAAATACGGCGAGGCTGGCTCCCTACTCCAGAACCTTAATGTCCCTCTTTGCTGTTGTCCCCACTCCTGCTGTGGCCACAAAGCACACACCCCCAATTCCCAAAGTGAAGCTCTAATCACCAAGATGATGGCATTGGTAAGTATGATGGCTTTGGGGAATTGAGACTCCACAAATCCCCACAGTGAAAAAACACAATGAGAAGGCACCATCTATGAGAACTCTGCCCCCACCAAACACTGAATCCTGGGGGCGGAGATCACCTTCACCTCACAATCCCCCAGCCTACAGGACCATGAGAAAGAAATAGAGTATTTTGTTAAGGCAGCCCAGACACTAAAATGATATTCTTCTTCCTAAATGACAAATTAAAACAAGAGGTTTTTAAGTTCTTAGAATGTTCCAAGTTCTAAGTTGAAGAAAATCTTTTATACTTCTGAAAGGACAAATTTTACTAACTTTCTGGTTCTGTTCTTCTTGAAACCCAACAGAGGTAGAACATCTGCTCTTTCTAGGCAACACTGCTTAAGATAATGGTGCTTCTGAGTGGAACGGCAAACCTGTGTGGGGACATCTGCTGAGAAATCCAAGCCAGGGACTTCAGGTGATGTGGTGTCAGTGTCCCACACAGAGTGTTGTCTTCTATGACAAGGTAGACCTCCTGTACCAATGTTGGACTCACTCATTTACACCTGGGGGCAATAAATATCCCTTGAGGAGCTGACCACTGGCTTGGAGCAATCTCTGTGCAGGTGTGGCGAGAACCACACTTCTCAGCAGAAAGCCTGCTCTCTGGTGGACATGTCTGTTTGAAATTTTAGTGGAACTCCAGCAGAATTCATTTGGCAAGTAGTGCTCAAAGTTGCCTGGTAAATCCAGACCCACACAAAGTTCCTTGACTCCAGGAAATATAAAATTATAAGGGTTTTGGAGGAAAAGTCAGTAGTTCTTTTTCTGGTAATGTTCAAAGTTACCTGCCAAATCCAGACCCACAGGATGCTCCTTCCCTAACTCCAGGGAATATAAAATCATAAGGATTTTGGAGGGAAAGTTGGAGTTTTTCTGGTTGATTTGGTCAATTTACTGAAGAGAAGGGAAGGAAGAGAAGGAGGTGGGAAGGCTTTGACACCATAGCTACTTAGTCATTTGGTACAGAGAAGTGCTAAGTGAAACGTGCACATGCATTTAATCCAGAGGATCTACAGTCACTCAGCATTTTAAGATGACACTAAAGTTTAGATGCCGCACAGCCCCATTACTGAGAAATCCAGTGGAAACTTATAACAACACAGAATGCTATGCAGAGTGTGACTACAGCTATCCAGGGACAGAGTCATGCAGAAAGGCGGGAAGGACATCAACAGCATGCAGAAGGCTCAGAGTCAGGTCTAGAGGGGACAGGAAGGTTCAGACCACAGGCCAGGCATGCACTTTCAGGTTTTGCTTTACCTTGTCATTACAGGATTGTGAACACCATATAAATGATCTTTATGATAACCATTATTACCATTTTCCAAACTGTAACAAAAGTAAATATACCAGAAACACCAAGTTACCTCTAACATGAAGTATTTACGGTATGGATCACAAAGACAATGTAAGCATCACAAAAACGAGCATCACAAATTGCTAAATCTGTAAAGAAGGTTAAAGGGCATATTTATACCCCCTCTTTCAAAACCAAAGATGGACACAGGTGCTTTATAGATTAATAAATTTAGCACATAAAACATTCATTTTATGCACCTTTTATGTGCCAACCCTTTCTAAGAGATGTCCTAATTCTTTTTTTACCCAGCTGTTTTCAATGTCATTTCAAGGTATTAGGAAGTTAACTGAAAGTCTATTATGTAAAAATAAAAACCTCCCCATCCCATCTGAGAATAAAGTTTTTAAAAAAGGCTTACTTTTTCATGGGTACAGTTTCAACACTACAAAATACAAAAAGGGGAGACAGGATTATTTTTTTGCCACTATTAAAGCTCACGAACTACATTCCCCATATTTTCACTCCAAGGTGGATGCTGATGTGCAAACTCCAGAGACGACACAAGAAGATGAGGAAGTGAGAAAAAATGAAGCATGCACGTCTACCAGACAGAGAGCACAAGGCAGGCTGCAGGGCCAGCACAAAGTAGTAACAATAGTTATCATAAAGTAAATTGCCAAGTCCCCAAGTCAGAGGAGCTGAAAAAGAGAGGAAGGCTGGTTAAGGATGCCGAGATTAAATAAGAGGGGAGAAGCAGTTAGATCAGAAGAAAATGGGTTAAAAAAATCCAGAAAACAAATAAAAACAGCGGAAAAGGAATGGCCCAGTACTTAAACAAAAACCAAGCTTGTGAACTCATCCTCAGCACCTCTCCAAGGACAGCACCACACAGGACATGCCCCCAGCCTCCAAGACACCCCCACACTCACTCATCATACATGTCTTCCGACTCCATCCGGCGATAGTACTTGGCCAGCTTAACCGCAATGATGACAGCCGGAAGTGAGAGCACGGTGGCCTTCCCTATGCCGAACCAGAACAAGTTCTGGGGGTTAAAATCAACAAAACAGGAGAATCAAATGCTTGAAGGCAGAAGTAGAAAGAATAAGGTGTTTTTTTTTTTAATTTTAAAGTTTTTATTTTGTTCTTAAAATCATGTGTGAACCTAACATGAGCCAGCCACCACGTGGAGTGTTATGCATTACTAAAATCTAGTTAATCTTTCTGAAAAACATGAGCAGATCTTTTGATTTTCTTTATTTAATAAGATAATTTAGCTGGGTGTAGTGGCGCACACCTGTAGTCCCAGTACTTGGGAGGCAGAGGCAGGTGGATCTTTTTGAGTTCCAGGACAGCTGGGGATACAGGGAGATCCCGTCTAAAAAAGACCAAAAAAAAAAAAATAATAATAATAATAGTACTGACCGACTGTCTAACCGAGACAGCAGCCAGCAGGCAGGCCTTTAGGAGTTGTTTGATGCTAACAAGGCCAGTTGACCTTTTCTAGTTCTGCTCTATATCTGAAGAGCCAAAACACCCTTATCCCATAACGGTCCAGTCAAGAAGATGGTGGTGCTCAGCACACGCATGGACTCGATGACTGTACCATCTTTAACCCATCCTGCAGGTTCACCACAGGCTGAATTGAACTATGAATTCAATCATGTTTTCTCAAATACTAATACTTATAAATCATACTTTATACTTAATCCCAGACTGTGTCTTCCTGAAAATGTGAGGGAGATGGGAGGTCGATCAAAACTAAAGATGTATGAAAAAGTCATATGGAAACCTAATACTAATTAAAAATATTTTTTTAAAGTTTGATGGCAGTACCCTGGCTGGTAGATAAAGGTACTCTCAGATGCCATACATTTTTAAATGAAAATCTCAGTGTCAGGGCTGGGCTACCTCCCTGAGAATTACTGGTCAGAAGTCCCTGTGCAATATAATACAGGCAGTTGTCATTGCTGTTGGCCGCTGACCAGACTTGGTGGTAAGAGTCTATGATCTGGTTGGAGAACATGGAGAAGTCAAGCCGGACCTGAGCTGGAAGCTTCCTCCCTGCAGACTAGGCATTGCAGTGCCAGAAAGTGTTACACAGACTGCTGCTGGAGAATTGCCATCAATGGTCTTCCAGCTGTGGACCCTGTGTGCAACACCATCTGCTAGCTGACAAGATGTTCCCATAGGTACAATGGTGTACCTGTAAGGCTGTTAGAGGGTTAACCAACCATTTCTGACTGGATCTGAGGCCTGCGTCCCAGGAGGTGATTCACACCTTGTACTGTAAACTTGGACTAAAAAAAGCCTGCGGTTCGGAGGTCCTAGGCCCTAGTGAGGGAAGTTACTGCTGTTGTTTTATTAAGTGGACATTAAATTACCTTCTAAATAGGTGTGTTTATGCTCACAGATGTGCTACTGCCAGCTTTGGTCTGAGAAACTCCTTTTTTATAGTAAACAGTGGTAACTACAGACACTTATGATGGGTCAAAGTGGTGAGAATAAGTGACTGTTGAGGGCTTTGCCACAAACAGTACATCTAAATCACCCTCTCAAGGCTCCTGAAACATCATGGAAGAGGGAGCAGAATGTCAGGGCTGAAGGGTGGGGTGCTGTGCTAGGCTGTCCTCCAGGCATAACAAGACCTCTGCACTCTTTAACAAACAGCAGCTATGATTATCTGAACAAAGTTGGACCCATCAACATCCTGTCATGGGGCGGGGGCTTCTCCCTGGGAGTTTATAGGCAGGTGGTTTGGTGGGGGAAGAAAAGAAATTTTCCCCAGAAGTGTACCACTGGTAAGGTGCCTATGCGTCTTCCAATAATCCCTCACCATGTTCCTGTAAAGAACCCTAATAAAACTCCTTGGGTCATAAAAGACTTGGAAGTGGAAGGGGAACTGGATGGGAAGAGGAAGGAGATCAGAAGGAGTGGGTGGGCCTAAGAGTGGGGGTGAATGTGATAAAAACAGGTGCAAAAATGCCACAAATCCTTTATTGTGTTAATTCATATATGCTAGTGAAAACATTAAATCTTGTGTATCTGTGTGTATCTGTGAGTAGGTGCAAACGAGTGTAGGTGTCCAAAGAGGCTGGAAGTGGGTTTAGATCCCCTGGAGCTGGAGTTAAAGAAAGTTGTGAGTCACCTAACATGAGTGCTGGGCACCAAACTCAGGTCCTGTAAGAGGACCAAACACTCTTGACTGCTGAGCCATCTTGCTAACCCTAATGAAAAAATTTTTTAAACCCTGAAACTCATCTCACCACCTTGAACTTGTTCCCAGGAAGCAGCAAGCAGCTCTGGCTAAGTCCTGTTCTTCCTTCCAGAGGAGGGGCCTTTGTTCTTGGTGTGGCACAGTTCAAACCATTAACTTTTGCAGGGTGGAACTCAAAATGGCTTAACTTTACCAATGAATTAAAGCAGGTGTAGCTATCAGCAGCCAGTAAGGACCCTGTGGGCATCGAGCACAGGCTGAATGCCACTTCTGGCCAGCACCTTGCATTTGGCCTGCTTTGGAAACCCACAACCACCTCAAAGGTGAGCCTCAACCCTAGGATAATGTCCTGACATCAGGTAACCCTCCTCAGCCACTGCGATGCAGAACACAACAGCAGAGGCCCAGGTCCTCTCGACACAGATGGCTGGTCTACCTCATTCCTGGGGGAGCTCAGGGCAGCATCTTGGTGGCACCTCTCTGGCCCCTAATTTCCAATAAACATGCTTTCCTTTCCCTCAGTATTGTTTTTATTAGTGGACGTCTACATTTTAAACCTTGTTTAGAGTCTTTACAACTTTATAACAACACTATCTCTTTTTTTGGAGGCTATCCCAATCCTTTGGAGAGCAATCAGGATACGAAAGAAACACCGACTAACCTGTAGTTCATTCTGTTGGAGAAATGGATGCCCAGAGCATTTCCCTACCTTTTAAAGCACCTATTAAAGTTCCAGCCTTCAAATGGCCTGCCCTGGAAAGTCTCCAGGCCTCCCACCCCTGTGTGTCTCCAGATTACTAAGAAGAGAGGTTATCTACCTGACAGTCAGGTAATTCAATCGGTTGTGGGAAAGGGTAGAGGACAGACTCCAGGAGAGGTCAAGTCACATGTGAATGAGGATGCAGATGGACAGACCCAGCAGTGTGGATGTACAGGAAGAAGAGCTGGCTGAGTGTCCTTACTTATGCAACAGGAACGCTCTGCAGACAATGATGGGGCACAGCAGCAAGCCTGTGGGCCCTCTGCTGATGGGGTGTAGAATCTGATGTGTCTTGGAGAAAAGATCTTAAAGAGATACACACAAAGAGGAATTCAGCAGCAGTGACACAGTAGTATCTTTATAGGAAAAGCACAGTTTTTGTGGGAGTGTAGAGAAAGGAGTCTTATAGTTTGGTAGATCAGAGAATCCTTGAGGGGGAGGCATTTGAACTGAGACTTGAAGACTGTAATCAATAATACTGAGCGTTTGTGTGTTAGTATACCAGAAAGAAAGGAATGTGGGGCACAGGGTGAAAGGTCAGCACACAGCACAGAATGAGGCATGGATGGGTGGGGGCCCCATCATGCAGGGCTGGAGCATAAAGACCGGCATCTTTCTCACGATACTAACAGGAAACTACTGCTATGCTTACTGAGAGAGGAGAGAATTGGCCCCTTTTGAGTCAGTGTATAGAGGAGTGAGTATAAGAGAGAGAAACCTGATTGAATGGAACTTACAGTCCTCGATGCTCCACCCCAGAGGGCTTTAAACAGAAAATCTGATTTAAAATTTAAGTTTGGAGTTGCTTTGGGTCTTACAAACGGCTGCATTAGGTCTCTGAATACTAGCCACCAGCACAGCAAGGACTGTTCCCCTCTTATTATTTCAGACAAAGAGGAGTTTTGCCACAGGTATCTCCTGACTTTGTAATTTTCATAAGGAACAAGGCAGGGGACTGGAGAGCTGGCTCAGCAGTTAAGAGCACTGGCTGTTCTTGCAGAAGACCCAGATTTGATTTCCACCACTCATACGGTGGCTAACAACCGTCTGTAATTTCAGTTCCAGGGAATCTGACTCCTTCTTCTGACCTCCATGGGCACTGCATGACATGGGTGCACTTACAGGTACGCTCATATACATGTACTCATACACATAAAAATAGATAAAAATAACAACTTTTTTTTAAAGAAACAAGGAGTGATGTGTGCCTGTGTGTGTGCACACGCACTTTTTTATTGCCACACTTATTTCTTTGGTCTCACTCAGTTGACCAGGCTGAGCTAATACTGTTGAGCTTCCTTACTCAGCTTTCTATAGCTGGGATTGTGGGTGTGTAGCACCATGCTTTGCTGAATTTTAGAGTTTAGGATCTGGATTCTAAAAACAAAAGAAACCCAAACAGGAAACTAATATTATAGTGTGCGTTACAATGTGTGTATGTTGGGAGATAGGGAGGGGAGATTAAAGATGGTGAATTTATTATGTCTCCTGTTTTTGAAAGATGACGTTCTTACCAGAGGGTCAATAACATAGCCACACAGAACACTATCGATGGCCGAATCTAGTGCAGTGGCCATGGGCTTGCAAGATGTCATTTTCTCTGTGACCTGTGGGGTGGGAAACATAGGCAAACACTTAGTTAGGCACACTCACAAAAATTCACACCATGAGATGTGCCATTGACCCCTGACTGGGTTCACAGCCCACCTCAAGGTCTTCAAAGACACAGAGCTGACAGCTGATGCAAATGGGTGAGTTCTACAGTAGGTGAAATGATATATTTATAGCATGACCCTTACTCCCTCTGGGCCTCAGTTTCCAGTTTCCTGATGGGATGTCTGGAATATGAAGATGCAGCCTACCGGACTGCACAGAGAATTAAACCCCTGACTGGGTTCACAGCCCACCTCAAGGTCTTCAAAGACACAGAGCTGACAGCTGATGCAAATGGGTGAGTTCTACAGTAGGTGAAATGATATATTTATAGCATGACCCTTACTCCCTCTGGGCCTCAGTTTCCAGTCTCCTGATGGGATGTCTGGAATATGAAGATGCAGCCTACTGGACTGCACAGAGAATTAAGAAGCACACACCCCTAGCCTAGAGCTTCAGTCCTACCCAGAGCTAGGAAACTACGAGAGAATGAAAGGATGAGAGGGGTCTGGGGGAGGGGTATTCTCCCACCTGGGGAGCCTCTTCCAAAGGTCTCGGGTCCCTATATTCAAAATCCCCTTGAAGCAGGCAAGTGTGGAGAAACTCAGCAACCTGGGGCACTGCTTGAGTTGTATGCACACCCTTTCCTAGTGATGCACTTGGTAACCCAGAAGCCCCACCCGCATCCCGCTGAGCTGTACAAGTATCCCACTCCAAACAATGCAGTAAGTAACTCCTCCCTAACAACCCTTAGTAACTTCTGTTTCTACTCAAACATATTCTGGAACACATCTTGGAACTAGAGGCAGGGGCCTGATCCAGCCTGGACTGGTTTGGATATATGTACAATAAGACAAACTGTGTCCTCTGAGTGAACTTTTAGGGGGGAAAAACCCTACTTACCATCACATGCCCATGCATAATTGGCATGCATATGATTAAAATCAGATGAATCGTGGGAAAGGACATGTGCAGTAAACAAAGGCTTATATAACCCAAGACAGTCAATAAAAACAGAAAACCACCCATATCCCACTGCAAGCAACTAACCCCATTAAAGGAAGCCTCTACCAGTAACCCACATCCTTGAGCAGTCCATCTCAGCTGCGAGCTGCTTCCCTGCGATGAATCTGTTCTGTACCTCACTGTACCTTCAAATCATATCCTCTGATAATCTGCTATTTGTGTGTGCTTCCTTGAGTCTTTGAACAAGTACTCCAGAACTTGTAACACCCTCACTCATCTCCAACCAAATTACTGGGAATTTAATTTCCTCCAGATTTGATACTAGAAAATGACTCTCCTATGATGCGGTGCCATTCATGTTCATAAAAGATAAAGCCACTTACAGCATACAAGACCCATTGCAGATAACGTTCGAAGTAGTCTACTATCATTCTTCCAAACTTTTTACTTTCCTTAGAAAGAAACCAAAGATGAACGTGATTATTAAAACAACTAGAGCACACTTAACTAGGACACTTCATCACGGACTACTGACACACACAACCACTCATCTACACATTTGCTTTAAAAAAGAAAACTCACTTCAATGACGATGAAGGAAACATTATTGGTGAGGAAGTTCTGCACAGAATCCAAAGAGGAAAGGATCTCCTTTACTTTCTCCTGGAAAGCACAGCAACAGTCAGAGTCAGCAAGGACCAAATGATAAAAGGATTTAATTAGGAAATTTGCAAATCAATTAGAGACTCTGATCCAAAGGAGACTGGTTCCAGGATCCCTACCCTACACTCACTTAGTCTGCAGGCACTCCAGTCCTTGCTATAAAATGGTGTGGCACGGGCATAAAACACACATCCACACGTCTGCTTTAAATATCTCTAGACTACTTTTAGTATCTAGTACAATGTGCATGCTACACCAGTAGGTGACATACTGCACTGTTCATGGGATAACATCAACCAAGAAGCCTGTATACGTTTGATGTAGACACAAACGTTTTCCCTCTACTATTTTCAATCTGGGATTATTTATACCCATCCAGAGATGCAGAACCCAAGTGATGGGAAGTCAGCTGTCTGGTGACTGGGCCACCACCCCTCTAAGGTCAGGAGAAGGAGATGAACTCAGAGGGAGGACATGCTTTTAAGCTAGATGTCTGGCTGGGTTGGTTGGTTGGTTGGTTGGTTTTGAGACAAGGTCTCCCTGTAGCTCCAGCTGGACTGAAACTTGCTATGTAGAACGGATTGGACTTGATTAAGGCATGTACCACCATGCTTGGCCTGACTGGGATCTTTATAAGAATCCACTGGTTGCTTATGAACTCACAAGGTACTGCTGGGCTCCCTTAAGGGAAGGCAGCTAGCTGTCTTCAAGGTTCCCAGGTAGGAAGCATACTGGGAAGCTAGAATTTACACCTGTCTTTTTCTTTCTTTTTTAAAATCTCTAAAACTGACAGTTGTTGAAGTATCACACAAAAACACAGCCACGACAAACCCATGACTGCTTGTTTTCAATAGGAAAAAAGGGTCCCTTTTGTACAGAGATCTGGGGAAACACTGCTGGCAGTGAATTACAACTGAGTTCTGCCCCGACTCACACCTTTGGCTGGACGCCCATGAAGGGGAGCACACAACTGCAGGCCTCATCCTAAAAATCATGGTGCAGAAAGAGCTAGAAAAGGACATACAGTCATCTTGTGTCTCCAGCACCTCTGGCATGGGACACACACCATCAAAGGCACAGGATGGCCCTGGAGCAGAGAAAACCTGTATGTCTTCAGAGAAACCAAGTCACACGTAAGTCTCACTGAAGAAAGGTGGAGGAGGAGCATTTTTTACTGTGAGGCTCACAGCCCAGAGCTCTCAGGGGCAGCAGTCCAGATCAATAAAGATACATTTTCTAAGTCGTCTGGAGTTCTGGGTACTCTGGCCTCAGAGCTCAGTGCTGTGGCCAGGGTGCCCCTTGCAATAGAATGCCCAACCTTTCAAGATGACTGGTGCCCTCCCTGGCCTGGCTCCCAGAGTACGGAATGGTATATGGTCAGTCCTCCAAATCCAGGAATTTTGAATCTGAGATTCAATTAACCTTTTTGGTTGGGGTGTGTATGAGGGGGCGGTTACTAAACATGTATAAGTTTTTCTTGTCACTATCCCCTAAACAAAACAATATAGCAAGTACTTACATCATGTTTACATTGCACAAGTAGCCTAGAGATGATTTAAGTATACTAGAGGATGAACATAGGTTATACACTCTGAAATTTGTGTAGTGTTCAATTTGATGTAGGGGCCTTAAGTCTTCATGGATGGTCTTGGAACCCATTCTTACCCAGCACAGAGTAAGGACTGTATTCCTCCATCCTGAGATGATGACAGGGGGTGAGTCCACATGGCTTGCTTTGGCTAATGGAAAGTAAGCAAAATGGCAGTGTTCTGAGCAGTGCCGTAAGGGCAACCTGGTTTTGCTCATACCCTGAAATTGTGTCCTTTTATTATTTGGTTACTGAAGTATCCCCCCAAAGGCTTAAGTAGTAAAAGCTTGGTATCCAACTGATGGTACCACTGAGGAGTGGTTAGATCATCAGTCATTAACTCGGTCAATGGATGAACCCAGTAATAACTCCATGGCTATTAGGAAATGGGGCCTTATTAGAGGAAGCAGATCATTAGAGATGTGCCTTTGAAGGGTTCATCTACCACAAATCCTTCTGCCATGACCTTTCTGCTTTGCCAAGGCGAGGAAGCTGGCTAACCATGTATTGTAACCACTGAAACCATGAACCAAAGTAAGTCCTTCCTCCTTTATGTGGACTTGATAGGTATTTTCACAGCAAGGAAACACTAACACAAGCTCCACTGACAGGAAATGAGGCAGCCAAGCCAAGAAGTGATCCCTCAGGGTCTTATAGGGGGTAGGTACAGAGAAGCCTCTCATTAGAAGGTGCTGAGACAGACATTGTTACACAGCACTATTTCTGTAAAAGTAACCAACGGACCTTCTATGCTGGCATCCTGCACATCAAAACACAGATTTCTCCTATGTATGTAACAATTTACGTTACAGGTACACTCGAGAGGAACCAAACAGTAGGAAAAGCAACTTCGGTATTCAAATGGACAGATAACTGAGCCCCATCACCCACGGCTTTTTTTTTACTTAAAATACTTAGAAAGATTAACATTTCTGAATTCCTAGGTAAAGTCATTTCATAACAAAAGTTCATGAAAGAAAAACAAAACCCTTACCGGCAATCCATCACTTATGTGTTCAAGTATCCGGACACTTTGCTTTAAAGCTTTCTGGTGAAGAAAAGGATAATATTTTCAAATTTTTCATACAAAGCACCAAGATCACATTCCTTGTGTCTGGCCTTCTCCCAACAGAAACATCAAATCTGACTATACAGTGCAATGGCTTCATTCCAGAAAATACAACAGATGTGTATAACAATGGGCGCCTTATGGATCATTATTTTGTATGAACCCCGCCCCCCCCCAAATCAGAAGCTTTTAAGGGTTGCACATCACACACAAACTGTCCAAAAATTCCTTTGAATTAGGTTTGATCTGTGTGGAAGGCATTATTAAAACAGAGCCTGCCCTGGTCTCTGTGAGTTCATGGTCAGCCTGGTCTACATAATGAATTCTAAGCTAGCAGAGGCTACATAGTGAAACCCTATCTCAAACAAACAAACAAACAAACAAACAAACAAAACAAAACCAAAACCAGAGGCTGTCCAGCAAGCATGGTTTATGTTAGTGGTGGCAAACTTTATCTGTAAAGGACCAGACAGTAAATACTTCGGCTTTTAGGGGCCATATCCTGCCCCAATTATGGCTGTCCAGCAAGCATGGTTTATGTTAGTGGTGGCAAACTTTATCTGTAAAAGACCAGACAGTAAATACTTCGGCTTTTAGGGGCCATATCCTGCCCCAATTACTCCATCTTGTTCTAATGGCCAATAGCAGTCACAGATAGTTTGCAAATAAGTGGCCGTGTCCGAATAAAACTTTATTTACACAAACCTACAGCAGGCTGGATTGGGTCAGGCTGTGGTGTATGAGGGTCAGTTTGCCAACTCCTGGTTTACATGACATATCATATATACAAAACAACTTGCGTGTCTGTACACAGGTTGTCCTGGTACTAAAAAGACCAAGGAGTACCATCTACTTGAAGAAAAGCATTGAAAGAAAATACAAAAAACACACAAAAGGTTTTTTGTGTGTTCTTTGTTTTTGAGACTGTCTCCCTATAGCCCCAGCTGGCCTGGAACTCATTATGGAACTCAAAGATCTGTGTGCCTTTGCCTCCGGAGTGCTGGGATTAAAAACGTAAAAGAAGTTTAATATAGGCTTAACATGTTAAGTTTGTACTAGATGTGAACAAAGTTAGAGAACTGTTGTTAAGCACAGTACACACAGTAAATGAATCCAGTAGGAAGCTGTAGGTGAAACCAGTAAAACCGGAAGTCAGAAGGGGAAGACAGAGAGACACCTTTGATGAAAACCAGATCCAGAAGATTCCATGCTATAGAGGATGGATTTGAATGCTTCTGAAAACCTGAGCAGCTGATCTAGGGACCCAGTTTCCACACAGCCCTCCCTTGGTCAGCTAGCTACAAACAGGCCCTTGGGTTACTAAAAGGGATTCCTCCTGTTCCTGAGTCCCCCGAGTTCAGAGGTCCCCTAGGTAATAGCAACCTAGGAATTATCCCCAATATTCCATCTTTCTCATTTTGATTATTGAATTTTATTTGAGATGAGGAAACTGAGAAGTCACCATGCTATGGAGAGGCAAAGAGGGATTTGAAGCCAGCTCCGCTCTTTGTTTGCTACAAATTGCCTCTATTACAAGTCGGGGGATAGAAAGTGGGGCTAGAAGAGAGGAGAAAGGAAAGGCCAACAGAACTAAGGGAAACAGAAAGAAAAGCACTTACCCTCATCTTCACATATTTCTAGGCAGCGTTTGGAGAAAAAGAATTGGAGAGCGTGAGAAAAAACTCAGAATGAAATCGCATAGCTAAAGGCATGGCCCAGGAGGCCTGTTAGCAGGAGTTAGCTACAGCAAGACGCAAGAGACAGGCGTGGGACAGGACAAACCCCACTGCTCACACTCACACGGAAGGAGGTGGGGGAAGAGAAACTTAAGTGTTGTGTCCTTAAAAGCCCAGTTCAGTATCTGAGGCGGAGATGCAGTAGACGGGCCCTCCATGAAATGAGGGTGTCTTCAGGCTATCTGTAGGCTAACCAGCTAACTAGGTGTATTTATTTCACTCAGGTCACCATGAAATGCCATAGGTTGTTGACTGTTACCAGTGATTGTTCCATAGGAAGGATGTGCTGCTGATGAATTGCTCTAATAGTTTGTGCATTTCTATTCAAGGACTGCTTCAAAGTTCCTTCAGGCTACAAAGAAAAGAAAACACGGAAAGGTGACCGCTATCTTTCTAGACTCCGAGGCACACTCCTTTAACCATAAGGGCCCTAGCTGATACAGTTTAAGCACATGATCCCCTCTCAGGCAATGATGACATGGGTAGGCAAAGGGGCTAACCTGGAGAGGAAGCACCAAGATGCTCCGCTCCAATGACAGCACCGTGGACTCAGCAGTACAGCACACTAACAAGTGCTTCCTGAAACAAGAGGCTGTGATTTCTCTTTCTTTGCCTCCTAATAACACAGTCACTCAATTTACCTGTTTCATAATTGGAAAAACCAAGGCTCACCTGAGGACTACTTATTTAACCCACGCTGAAATGATGTTCATTATATGAACGATAACAAACCAATAAGGCACGTACAATCACTGCCTCCAAATGGGGACACTGAGGCACAGATGGGTGAAGAAGCCCCTTGCTGGAGCTCCTAGCATTAGAAAGAGGCTGAGTTGGGTCACGTACAATCACTGCCTCCAAATGGGGACACTGAGGCACAGATGGGTGAAGCACCTTGCTGGAGCTCCTAGCATTAAAAAGAGGCTGAGTTGGGATTTAAGCCTTGGTCTTCCTCCAGAGCCCAGAGTCCTTTCACCATAGTCTACTGTTTCTTAGAAGGGACCAACTAGGCCATGCGGAATTGATGAAGGGGAAGCTTATTGGTTATAATGGTACCTCTGCCCAATCTTATAAGCTTACCGCTGGGGTTACAAAGCACAACTCAGTTACTTTTTCTTCTACAGAAGAAAAATGTGTGTGTGTGTGTGTGTGTGTGTGTGTGTGTGTGTGCATCCATGTGTGTTTGTATGTATATGTTTGTGTATGTGTATGGGTGTGTGCACACAGGAAGGTATGCATGTGTGTGTGCATGTATACATGTGTTTGAGGTGGAGGGTTGATCTGTGGAAGCACATTCAGAGGTAGAGTTGCAAGGGCCTAGAAACAGTCATGTGTTCAGACATCTGGACCACAGGGCCACAGTGCTATTGGAACCTCTAACAGGCACCAGTGAAGAGCTACAAAAAAAGGTCAAGCTCATGTTGACAACGACCTCTCTGGTAGCTTCCCCAACAGCGGTATTGGCATTGACCATTCCAACTACTACAGCATTTAAACAGACTCTTTGAACTCACCAACTGGTTTGCTTGTGTTTCCAGAGAAGAGGAAAATGCTACCAGATCCACTTTTGTAGGAGCGTTCTCAGTCTACAAAAGAGGGAAAGAAAACTGTTACAGACACTGGATTTTGAAATAAAACCACCATCTAATCGGTACATACTGAATATGGGTCCATAGCTATCGAGCAACAAATTAAGTCTACAAAATCTTTCAAAGGTGACATCTGCATTTTTAGCTATACATTTTATTCGTACTCAACCATAAAAAAGAATGAAATACTGATATGCACCATTTCACAAATGAATCTCAGAAACACTCTCAGTGAAAGAAACTAGAAACAAAAAGTCAAAGTGTATGACTCTACATGTACGGGATTCCCAGGACAGGTAGCTTCGGAGGAACAGAGCCCAGACAAGACAGCTGTCAGGAATGCGGAGTGTGGGGAGCGCCTGCTATCGGACAGAACATTTCCTGTGGGCTATGAAAACGTGCTGGAACCTAAGGTGGTAAATGTGCATATACACTAAATGCCACTCAACTGCTCGTCTTAAGATGGTCATTTGGACGTTATATGAATCTACCATCATGAAAAATCAAACAAAAAGAAATGTACACACACAATACTCAAATCCCCTCACCCCCCAAAGGTCATGCATGTAGGATCTGGCTCATACCTGATTTAAGTACAGAGGGTAATTGATTCTATCTATCCCAGACTGGGCAAAGTCCCGGAGGACTTTTATTCCTTGTGCGTCTAGCAGTTCGATGTTGTCAATATTCACACTGAGGTTTTCAAATTCACTGTTTATGTTTCCAGTAAGCTGCATGAAGTAAAAGCATCCATTATCCTCCAGGGTCACAGCCTCGATGCTTACAGAGCAAAGGAACTACACGGGATCAAAACGATGCCTATGCACTCATTTGACCTAATTGTCCTCCTTCTCTGCCTCCTTGTAGTCCATAAGTGCCCTGTCTGGAGGAGGCATGTGAAGCAAAGCAGGACTGATTTCCATCCTTAAAGACTTCAGAGGGAAGGGACTAAGGTCCTCAAAGAGGAATGCATGAATTCTGTCAGAACACCAGGGAGAGACGAGTCTGTGGAAAAGAACTGGGGTACACTGGAGAGGCTATGACTTCTAAGCATCCAGCCTTGACAAACAGAGATGCAGAAAGGACTGAATAGCCTGGTATTCCAGGAAAGTGATCAGCAACCTTTAGGTATTAGGAAGACATGGGGAATGGGAAACAATTTTCTGTTACTTGCACAAAAATCCTAGGAATATGATATGGGGTCGTTCTAACAATCAGTCAGTAGATTCAGGCAGGATAGAGTGACTGTGTCATTCTCAACTGCTACTCAGCATGGCACGGGGAACATGGTCATGGCATGATGGACAAAGGAGTAGAGGGCATCTACTTAGGATGTGGTTACAAAATTATACTTTATTTATGGGCACATAGGGACTATTATGAAAAATAATGGATATAAAATTCATATAAATCTTTCAAATAAAAGCTCTTCACATTGGAAAATCATCAAAGCCAACATTGACCACACTGGTTCTTCTAACAACCTTTCACAATGCAAAAGTAGGCAAGATGCAGGGCATGGAGAGTCACTTCTTCCCTTGAAATCCACTCATTCTGGAAGCCCCAAAGGAGTAAGATCTAGATGTTCCCTGAACAGCTGAGAAGGCCAATAAAGGTCTCCTGGCAAGGAGACTGAGGTCATCTAGGTTCATTGCTTTATAGAGATGGGCAGCAGAAATTATTGCTCTTTTTTGTCTGGTGTGCTCTGGAAGAGCTTTTCCTCTGCATCTCAAGAGAAGGGGTGTGGGCTAGAGCACAGGAGAGGTTATTCGTTCATTCTTGCCACAAAAGGCAGGGTGAACCGTGACCCATTCTGGAGTCCTGGGTCAGGAATGAAGACAAGGGAGGCCCTACTTCTCTGTGCCTGGTTCCCGATTCTGGGACTTGGCTGAATGGGGGGATTAATCTTGAAGGACCAATCTCCCTGAGAAGCAAGTGGGACCATTTTTTGTAGAACACGCGTGCTCAGAGAAATGAAATTTTCCCCTGAGACGTCTCATAAGGGAGGCCTTTTTGGAGGGTCAATTAGAGAAACTCAAGCTGAGGCCTGGAGAGATTAACTCAGCAGTTGAGAGCACTGGCTGCTCTTCCAGAGGACCAGGGCTCGGTTTCCAGCATCTACAGGTTGATTCACAACCATCTGTCACTCCAGTTCCAAGGTTATCTGATGCCCTCTTCTGGTCTCTATGTAGGCAAAACATTCATACACATAAAATAAAAGTAATAAGTAAAATATTTTTTAAGTAAGATATTTTTAAAAGAAAAAAGAAGCGGGGGGCTGGAGAGATGGCTCAGTGGTTAAGAACAATGGCTTCTCTTGCAGAGAACCTGGGTTTGGTTCCCAGCACCCACATGGCAGCTAGCAACTATAAGTCCAATTCCAGGGTATCTGACACCCTCTTCTGACCTCCATGGGCATTGATCTACACAAGAGTACTTACATACATGCAGGCACTCATAAAATAAAAATAAAAGAAATCACTGGGCGTGATGCCTCATGACTTTAATCCCAGCCCTTGGGAGGCAGAGGCAGGTGGATCTCTGTGAGTTCAAGACCAGCCTGGTCTACATAGTGAGTTCCAGGTCATCTGGGGCTAAAGAGAGACCCTATCTCAAAAAGATCAAAAATAAAATAAAAATAAAAAAATAAATTAATAATAAAAGAAATCTTTAAAAAAAGAAGAAAAGAAATTAAAAAGAAAAACTCGAGCTTCAAAAAGGAAAAAGACAAGTGGCTGGAGATGAGGACACGTTTGGGGATTATTAATAGACAAAGGTGAGGGTTGCACAACCTGTAAACATACTGTCACTTTAAAATGGCTTGTTTTTTTAAAAAAAATAGTTTGTTTTCTTATGTGCGTTTCACATCAGCCTTAACATAAAAGGAAAGACATCCATCTGGGTTTAGTCAAACAAGGTCAAGTCTGGGTCTAATGACTCACCTTCTTGATGTTGAGATTATCACTGATATTGAAGACATTCTCAAGCTGAAAAGTACCATAAAAGCCTCTCCCTCTTTTGCAGTCCCTATGGGGAAAAAGAGAAATCATGCCCCAGAGGAGGATCATAGCAATGTCTGTGTACTGCACAGGATGTGCAAAGAGTTTGCTAACCTCTGCTTCTCGGTGTTCAAGTCTGCACACAAGTAGGTTCTGGGTGTCCCCCATAATCATGGAAACCCTTAGCACCTGCCACTCCTGATATTTTCCCCATTGTTAGTATAGATACAATAAGATGGGTAGAAACCATCTATCTATCTCCTTTGTGCTGTTTCCAATATTGCTAGGCATTAAGTTACAAAATAAGAAGAAATAAATTCTCACTTAAAAATGTAAAAATGAAACTTTCTAGAAAAGAGTGCATTGCAAAATTTATCTTGTGGATTATTAAAGATTCTACCAAGCCTCTGCCAACATCCTCTGTAGTTCCAGAATTGGGTTTCACTTACTAAATATATGTTTAGACATCTCTTCTAAAGAGGGCAAAGATGGTCACAGGAAGGGGCCCAGAGACACTCATTCAGTCCAGTTTTTCTCTTCCATCCTGGTGAAATGGCCTCACTCCCCCATTCCTCAATCCCATGTCTGAAATGGTAAAATGATAAAGTGCCTGTCTGAGCTAAGGGGAGACCTCATCTGATGACTATTCCTGCCACAACATAGCCACATCCTATGTGGCATCTACCTCTCCCTTGACAGCAATGCTGGGACTCTCTGACTTGGAAGGATGCCGGGTGAGACAACTTTCCCACATTGTAGGAGATGACAAATCCCTGTGGGGGGAAAAAAGCAGGTCTTGTTTTTGAAAATTAGAACTCTTGTGGTTAATTATGCCGTCAATTTGACCACATCTTGAATCAACTGCTATAAGTGGTTGGGCACACCTGTGAGGGGGTTTCTTGACCAGGTAACTGAAGTGAGGAACTCCACCCTGAATGTGGGTGGCACCTTTGGTGGCAGCCCAGATAAAGGGAGGTCAAAGACAAAAGCAGTTTGTTTTCTGCCTGCCTGCCTTCATGTCTCGCTGGCAAGTTCATCTACCCTGTTTAGGAGTTCGTCTACCCTGTTGCTGCTGCCACAGCTGCTGTGTTCCTTCACTCATAGTTTCTTCAGGTTTCCAATGTGGCCTGAAGACCAGCAGCTTGGCAGATATCCTCCAGGCCTATAGCACTAAATTGGAACTGCTGAGACACCCAGCCTCACGGACTGAGCAGGCTACTGGGTTCTCAGCCACTCCAGTGTAAAGACAGCCCTTGCTGGACTGCCCAAATCACACTGTGTAAGTCAGTCTAATAAATCCCCCTTTAATACTACTCGTTCTGTTGGTTTGTTCTTCTAGAGAACCCTGACTAATACAAGCTCTATGCACTAACAAAGGTAATGCTGGGAAGTTCTGCAGAATCCAGACTCACAAAGAGCTGCCATGATAGCCCAAGAAGCTCAGCCTTGCCCTCCCAAACTGCAACAGCAGATAAATCTAACTGGATAGAAATTCCAAAGGATTGATAATGTCTGCTAGGGCTGCTGAGAGGGATCCCAAGACCATTACTGATGAATAATCTTTGCTGTGCATACAGGCAGGACAGAGGGGAACACACACGCACTGACTTTGTGCCCTCTGCTGGTGACAATGATGCCCTGCTGATTTAGGGAGGGGGTCATTCACTTCCCCCGATGCTTGGAGGATGCAATGGGAAGCAGGTAGACCAGCTGCTAGCAGGGAGAGGAAATGAACTTAAGATGACATCTACAAATAATACTATAGGGCTGGGTTTGGGAAATTCATTCTAATCGTCGCCTTGGGGTTTCAGGAGCTCATGTTTCTGCACTGCTGTGGGCTACACAATACAAACCAGAACTTTTCTCTGTCCTTTACTTTGCGCGTGGATCTGTTACCAGATTTTCCTTGCTGGTAGTACCAGGGTCTAATTCATCTTTGTATAATATCATTGAGTATATATCACACATTTCATGTCCTCATTTGATAAGGAAAGTGGGTATGAAGCCAAACGTGGTGGTGCCCACTTGTAACCTTAGCTACTCAGGGGGCAGAAGCAGAAGGACTCTGAGTTTAAGGCTTGCCCAGATAATTTGGTAAGACTGTGTCTCAAAATAAAAATGAAGAGGATGTAGCTCAGTGATAGAGTGCTTTGCCTAGCATGTACAAAAGGCTCTAAATTTGATCTACAGTACTGCAAAAACTATTGTTAATATGATACCCAGCTCACAGAACACTGCATATTAAAGGAGTTTGTATAGAGTGCTTCCATCAGTGCTAGTGCTTCCTTGTACATAGAAAGTGCCATGCCAGTGTTAAATCTTTTAAAGATGGCCATCATTACTACTTAGTATCCTACTTATTGAATAACTGGTCGAAACAGTGATGGCATAGCTATATTTATTTTGAAATCACTTGTTTAGGTTGGCTGAAAAAATGAATGCCCATCTGTTAATTAAACGTATGAATATTTGAAAGTTTTTTTAAATGCAAAAGAAAAGTTGCAATGCCAAAAAGCTTACCCAGCTATGCACAATATACTTACCAAGTCTTTCTGTCAAATGACACCAATACTACTAAGATACAGCTAATAACGCCCAACACAGGACTAAATTTTGCTTATAACTTTATAAAGAAACATCAAGAAAGTAAAAGACATTAGCAATGGCCATTTCTGTGCAGAGGATCAGAGGGTCCTTAGGCAGCAGGGGCCACATCCCCATTACCTCTTTGACACTCCACCCTCAGTGTGTCTCTATGGCCCTGTGAGTCTGGAGTTCGACTCACTAAGAAGAATCTATGATAGTGCATGCCTTCTAGCCTTCTGGGCTCACTGAGGGCAGAAATAAAAGTGTCCTTCTAAGTAAAAAGTGTCCTGTGATTTGGAGTTCATTGTTTTAGTGACTTCTTTTTGCCTGGCTCAGAGCAGGTAGCTGTGGATTGGTTCACACCTGAGCTCAAATGCTTACTGCTACCAACCTTCAAGCTAGAGGACCATTCCTCCATAAGGCAAAGGTTCATGATGAGAAGTAAGCAAAAAGTCAGCCCTAGATTTGGAAGGAATGGGGTATTATGCCCTATTTAGAAGCTTGCTCTAAAAGGGGAGCTAAAAGGCAAGGGGAGAAATTCTTTCGCAAAGCTTAAACAACAGCAAGCCCCTCTGCGCCTCAGGACTGAGGTCAAGCCCTTTACCTTGGCAGATGATCTAGAATTTGAGAAGCGGAAGCAAGACCTTCAGAAGTCACCCAGCTATTTCATGTGTGTGTGTGTGTGTTTATGTGGCTATGGAACCTCAAAACATACTAATGGAAGAGACCCAAAGCAGGAGACAAAAGTGACCAAGGTACTGGGAAGACAGCCCCACAAGGGAGACTGAGTCCAGCTCTTTCACCCAAGAGGGAATGAGCTAGGGAAGAAGATGCTCCCAGTGGAAGGATGCTCTCTGCCATTTCCTTAGCCAATTCACTATCAAGGAGAGGGCAAAGGAAAGAAAGGGTCAAAAACAGGGGGTCCATTACCCAGGACAACAGCCTGTTGTATACCACTAACGTGGTCGGGAGGCTTGATGATTTAACGTCATAAACAGTTTAGAGAAATCTGAGCATTAGACAGCACGCCAGGGGTATTAACAACAGAACTTACAATGTTTTACCAACACTCTTATGAGCCAAAAGAGGAAAAATGCATGTAGACGAACACTCATAAGAACGGCTGTTACTGTATCATGTTTGTATGACATACCAGGCACTATTCCAAACTCACATACCTCACCGGGCCCTAACATGACCCCAAGGGAGAATACCTATTGTCTTACTAAATACAGAGAAGTTCAACTGTCCGAGGACACAGGGATAAGACTAGATCCCAGGTGATCTGACTTGCCCAGACCAGCCCTGTAACTGTATCACTATTACAGCACCTGTGATTTGGCACACTTTCTTGTAGGATCCTATTAATACATCTTTAGCCACAAAATCTTAGGGAGTACTTACATAGAGGGACTGAAAAATTACCAACCCCAGGTCAAAAAGGCTTAGAACGATGACTCTGGGGGGTTCCACTTCTATGATCTTTTTGCTGAGACCAGAAAGCAGCTTCTCTTTGAAATAAAAAGTCTTACCAGTAAGTTTAACAAAACACACTGAAAGCGAAATTCTCATTCTTATTAGAAACCATTTTAAATAAGAAGATTAATACCTGTAGACTTGTTCAAAAGTGAGGTTAATGTTTGGTTTACCAAAGATCAAGCCGGAGAGATAGAATTCCCATTGATCACTGAGCAAGTAGGGGGTGTCCAAAACCTAGAGCGAATGTGACAGAATTTTTTAAAGACAGTTTTATACTAACATACACACACAATAAAAATTAATGTTCTATTAAATACTTCTGAGATGCTTTATATCATGATATTCATTATTCATTTCAAACCTAAAAGCAGAAAATAATAAGTGCAATTAGAATAAATCAGTTGACCATTGGGTAGCATCGCTCCAAATGATGGCAATCTTTTAGAATAACTTCAATTTATGAAACATAGTAGAAAAAGCAACTGGACTATTTGATTTAGAATGACTGATAAAGTGCTTCAGATTTGGGACTTTTTTCTGATTTTAGATTATTTGCATACACATAAAGATAAGTCCTAGGAATGAGACCCAAGTCTAAACATGAATTCACCTATTTATTTTCCTATACACATAACTTGAAGGTAATGGTCTGCAAAATTTTTAATAATTTTGTACATCAAATATTTCATAGTGTAGAATTTCCCACATGTGGTGTCAAAGTCAGTGAGCAAAAAGTTTTCGATTTTGAAGGGCTGGGGATGTAGCACTTGCCTGGCATGCTGAAGGCCCTGCTTTTGATACCCAGCACTGAGAGAAAACAGGAAGTTTCAGATTTTGAAGGTTTTAGGATATCAGGCTTCCATATTAGGGATGACTGATCTAAGACAGTGGGTTTGAAATATCTCCTATTTTTTAAAAATCTGTTTAAAAATCTTTCATTTATTATTTTTATTTTTTATGTGTACGAGTATATTGCCTGAATGTATGTGAGTGCACCATGTTGTGCAATGCCGCAGAGGTCAGAAGAGGGCTTCGGATTCCCCTGGAACTGAGTTAAGGACGGTTCATTGCCACCATGTGGGTGCTGGGAATCGAACCCAGGTCCTCTGCAAGAGCAATCAGTGCTCTTAACTGCTAAGTCATCTCTCCAGCCACAAAGAATCATTTTTTAAATGATTTACCATGGCACAGAAGATAATGAAGCCCACCTTGATCATACTGTTCTTTCTTAAGAGGCTAAATGGAAATGACATGATCCACTGATACTCTCAACTTAATTTCCCTTGATAAACTAAATATCTGGAACACCATGATAATTGGTTACTTGTGTAGTCACTGACCTGATTTCATGACAGATTGGAAGTGGAATATATACACACAATATAAGAGGGAAATGGAAATATGTTTTAAAAATCAGAATCTGGGGCTGGGGAGATGGCTCAGTAGGTAAAGTGCTCGCTGTGCAAGCATGGGGGGGATCTGAGTTCAGATCCCTGGCACCCAAGTAGAAGATGACTGTGGAGGCATGTCATCTAACCTCAGGGCTAGGACAGGCAGATGCTGGGGGCTCACTGGCCAAGACAGTATTGCAATTAGTGAGCTCCAGGTTCAGTGAGAGACGAAAGAAAATAGAGAGCAATAAAAGAGGACACCTGAAATTGACCTCTGGCCTCCATACACACACGTACAGGCATACGCACATGCACACACATATGCACATACACAATCCCAACATGCATATACACACAAACCTATATCTCACATACATACAAGCGCGCACGCGCACACACACACACACACACACACACACACACACATCATAATCTAGAGAAAAGTACTAGGAAGCCAGGCATGGTCTGAACCCCTTATTAATGAAGAAAGTGAAGATGCACACTGAGTTCCTGCAGTTTCTAAGCATGGGCCTCAAGAGGGAAAGGTAAACCTGAAAGTCAATCTTAGCTCCCTTCCACCCCCAGATAGCTACCAGTGACAATGGTCTATTATGAAACAATAAATTTTATTGGCTCTTTCACTTCAAATCTAGATCTATGTGGTCATCTTTGTCACCTACAAAATCTTTAAAATGTCTGGAGCTCTCAGAAGGGTGTGGGAAGAGTCAATCATTTGAGAATCTCAGTCACCTTTAGAAATCACTGCTGGGAAGAATTTTATTCTTCTCAAATATTACATCCCACATTGATATGCAGGTCTTAATTCCTTAATGCTGAATTCACTTAAAAAGAAAAATCAAGAATACTACTATATACGCATATGTGTGCATTAGCTATTACAAATAGAATCTCAACTTGCTGAACTAAAGGCAAGGAACGTATTGGGTTTTACTGCTCCTGATGTAACCCACAAGATATGATGAGTTCCAAGTGTCTGTCTAAGTCCTCCCACAATGAGTAGAAAACAGTATTTACCTGTAATAATTTCTTGTTTGCATAAGGTTCACAGACCAATTTTTCCATATTCACACCAACAACAAAAGTAAGAACCACAAGGATCATCAGTATCCAGCAAAAGAGGAAACTGAATCCAACCCCACTGGAAAAAAACACAAACAAAACAAGTAATTCTACGAGGAATTATCCAGCACTCTCTGCTAGCACTCTCCAGTCCTAGCTTCTCATTCTACATGGTGGACCTGCAATCTTCAGTGTCTTGCAGGTTAAACAAAATGACCTTCCAGGAAAGAAGAGACGCAGTGGTCAGCAATGTCATCTTGGAGTCCCTGGCCAATACTTACAGAAGCCTTCCGATGACTCAGTACCTGGTCTACCTGTGGTCTGGCCTGATGGTCCAGAGCCTGGGCTCTGGAGTCAGTTGAGAATCAATTCTTCCTGCAAAGGATGTAGCTGGTAGAGAGAGGCTAAGCAGAAAACGTTCCTGCGATGGTTAATTCGCCAAGTTGACAGGATCTAGAATCACCTTGAAAACAAGCCTCCATCACATCACCGAGGGGTATCTATATTAGGTTAATTGAAATGGAAAGATCTGCCTTAATGGTGTGGCACCATTCCATAGACCGAGTCCTGGACTGTATAAAAAAGAGAAAGCAAACGAGCACTCTCATCCCTCGCTCCCTGCTTCCTGGCTGTGGACGCAGTGTGATTAGCCACCTCAAGCGCCTGCTGCCATGGCCGCCTTTTTTGTGACAGGAATGAGAAAAGTAACTGACACGGTACCACTGAGATTCTGAAAGGGACCAATGCAGTTCTGCCTCGACAGGAAGGCAGAGAATGGCAAGAACTGCAGCTCCAAAGGCTGGCCAGGGGCCCAGGGGATGGAGCCTGGGGGATCCCAGGTGGAAGGGCTACAAGGGCTAAAGAGCAGAGGAAACATAATCCATTTTCTTTTCTGAAGAAAAGCACTTCTGATATAATGAGAAGGATGGTTGGACAGATGGGGTATCACTGGGAGGCTGGTATGGTATGGTATGGTATGGTATGGTATGGTATGATGTTATGTTTGATGTGATGTGATGTGATGTGATGTGATGTGATGTGATCTGATGTGATGGACAGTGACCTAATGAAGCTGGGAGTGATGGAGAAGACAGTGAATGTAAGAGACAAAACAGAGAAGGCAGATGCAAGAGGATGAGAGGTAGAGGGAGGAAAGGGTCCCAAGGCAGGGAGGTGGCAGGGAACACTGATGGCTAGAGGAGAGGATAAAATGGACATTAGTCATGTTGCCAGTGAGACCCTACAGTGAAGATTCGACGGAGGAGTTCGATGTGCTCGGAGCACGTGCATGGGGTCAGAGGAGACACTAGATGTCAGCATCTTAGATATGATCCTCTAACCCCGGGCTGTCCACACTGTCCTGGAATGCAGAGGTTTCTGTTGAGGTGAAAGACGTAGGGTGACAGGGAGGAAACCACATTGGAGTGGAAGCTGCTGGGAGATGGAGAAACAGAGGAAGCCGCACAGATCATTCTGTGGAGAAGGCTGATGCCTGGAGAAGAGCGGGCAGGGAAGAACTGGTGGAGGTTCTCTGCCTTTTCTAGGAAGGGGGAAAACAGCATGGTTAAGTGTTGAGAGGAAAGGAGAAAGAAGACCCGGGCAGAGCAGTGATGACCCAGTGTATCCTTGGGATGCTGGGAAGGATGGGATTAAGGACAACTGGTAAAACAGGAGCCTCCCCTTTGCCTCTGGAAGTCCAGAAATGCGACACGTGGTTTGACAGCAGGTGTGTTTATAAGTGGGAATTTATGACAGCTTTTGTGTCCTCTGTGAAGGAGGTCAAGTCATCTGCTGAAAGTGGGAGAAGTAGGAGTGGGCGGACATCCTCCAGTTGAGGTTACTAGAGCAGAGTGGGAGGGCAAGCTGTGGAAAACCAAACGGGAGGGGAGGAAAGTCTGTCAGACTCCAGCAGGTCCACTGGGAGCATGATGACAAGTTTGTGGGGGCACGCAATCTGCCCTGCTGGCCCCTTTCCCATGGCAGTGACCAGTTGTCCAGGGGCAGACGAAGAACAACTCTTAGAGCTTTCTAGGCAGAGCTGTCCATCCAGTGACATCACTGATGATGACTCAGCAGAACAAAAAAACAATGAGAGGGAGTGGGGAGACACGGGAGGGGTTGGTGGGAGACTGGGCAGGATGGAAATAATGCAAACGCAATATTCATGCATGAAATTCTCAAAACAAAACCAAAAGGTAAACGCACATCAATAAAGACAACTCAGCTACTCTAAGTAGCATATACCTAATGTTGCCAGCCTCTATTTTCAGTGGTATGGACACAGAACCAGGGCCCATTTTTGTAAGGTTATGGAGGTAACCAGGCAAGAGCAAGTTCTCAGTGCTTAAAGCACTTACTACTGCTACTCTTATAGGGGATCTTGAGTCAGTTTCCAGCACCTACACAGTGGCTCAAAACTGTAACTGCAGTGCCAAGGGATCTGACACCTTCTTCTGGCCTCTACAGGCATTGCATACACCTGGTATACATACATACATACATACATACATACATGCAGGACTCATACGCATAGAATAAAAATAAATAAAACCTTTAGAAGATGAGTGAAGTAAAAACACACTAACGTGTATTGAAAGGGTTAAGGGAGGAGGAGGAGGAAGGAGGAAAACATGTGCTCCAAGAGTCAACAGAAGAAAACTTTCCCTGCCAGTTCAGAAAAGTAGTGTAGCCCAGCGGCAAAGCACTTGGCTAGCATGTGTGAAACTCTCCGTTTGATCCCTAGTATCAAAGAAGAAAACTAAGGAGACAAAGAAAGGGATGGAGAAAGAGAACAGGGAATGAAGACTCTGGTTCACTGCTCGTGAGGTCCCCTTATTTCTGAGGAAGTCTCACATTCTCTCTAGTCTGTTTACCATTCAGTCCTTGAGACACCCTGGCGACCGACCCTCAGAAAACAGAGTGAAAGGCCTTCTAGCTCTTTCATGGGGACCCTTTCACGCCATCAGCCTTTGCGGGACAGTGTCATTGTGTTTACAGAGCATGTGGAGATTTGGTGGCAGCAGAACTGAAATAGGCTTTCCGGTTTCCACAAGCAAGGAGATGGTCCAAAAGAAGCAGCCGCAGGTGAACAGCACTTGGAACACTGCTTCCCTTTGCACAGATCCAGTTCCTTACCAGATGTCATGAGGGAGAAATGTCTACAAGCAGAGCCAAGCATGACCCGTGCAGAGGCAGAGTTCAGCAGTAAAGAAATCATGGGCCCCTCACGTCTGTGGCCCACCTGCGATGAATGTGATGACATCCAACATGCTTAACATTTCTCCTGCCTCCATCCCAAAGGCGCCCATGAAACTTTGTCTCTTTAAAGATGCTTAATGTGCATAAAACGTCTATCTAAACCCAAGCAGCTTGTAGCTCCATCAGTTCGTTGATGGATTTCCTGTTTGTTTGTTTGTTTGTTTTAGTTGGAGCCCTTAAAAGTGTTTATACAATTTTATGAAGGGGGTAATTTTTCAAAGTAATTTGTTTCCCTTTCAAGCAGCTAAACAGATAAAATATACATGCCGCCAAAATAGGTTCAAAACAGCCAATTATCAGGACTGTGAAATTCTTAACATTGAGTTAGTTACTCTACCTGTATCTGTGCTTGTTTGAACGAAGGCACAATTTGTTGTTGCTTTTTTCTGTCCGTCACAGGTACTTGCATTTGTGTCTCTCTCTCTCTCTCGCTCTCTCTCTCTCTCTCTCTCTCCTCTCTCTCTCACACACACACACACACACACACACATACACACGCACACGCACACACACATACGCACATGCACACACACACACACACCTACCTCTCTCTTTGGATTGCATCCAGAGCCTTGCACATGCTAGGCAGGTGATCTACCACTAAGCCACTTTCCTGGCTTTGGAGTATGTCTTAAATGTACATGTGTGAGCAAATAGGCTTTTCATGGGGAGCTCACTTCTCAGGTCCTGGCAGACTCCAGGTCATTTATTTTAACTATTTTAGATATATGACTACATTAATGTTAATAAAGGTGTATGATGCTGGAACTTAAGTGTTTGGGGGAAGGACTTCGACACACAGATCATAAGAAGTCTAGCTACTACGGTGACTCCATGTCTGAATGAGCTGACTAACGCAAGCCAGCTGCTCTCGTCTTCCTCCTCATTCTAGTGATATGGCAGATAGCCAAATGCACATGCTGTTTTGGTTCTCCATTTTCCAAAGGACATGTTTCAAATTTTACCTCCCCTTGAGCCCGATTACATATCCCACCACTATTTTCAATGAGCTTACCAGAAAAAACAATGCCTGCTTGGAGCCAACCTGGCTTCCACTTGAAAGCACTTAGAGCCATTTCACCTGCGCCACAGTTGGCATTTTCAGGGCCACCCTTCTGCACACTGCCCTTGGCCACTAGGCTTTGTCACAGTATGCTGGAGTAAAGGTTCTCCAAATGTATGATTGTTAAGTACTAATGGCTTCACAGCTCGAATCTGCCACAGGCTCCCTGATGCCTGATACCGACACCTGCTCTTGTGCCTAGTTTAGGCTGTTGGTCTAAACCCCCAGGGTGCTGCTTTAAATCAAGTTCCTGGAGTCTCAAGCTAGCAGTACTGCTCACAGTAGAGAGCAGTGTCTGACACACGGTAGGTTCCCCTTCTGGTGAGTGAATGAATGAACAATTAAGATAAAGAAGGAACAAATGGCATCAAGAAACTTGGAGATGATGTTCTTGATATCTATCTTAAAAAGGAGTCCATCATATATAAACAACGTGCACTCCTAAACCAGTCTATCAAAATGCAATTGATTCAGATCTGTCTCTTGTTTTTTGTGCTTGATTCAAAAGTAGCCAAACCAAGGAAGGCAGCATCACTCCAAGACATCTACTCTGCTGAAATTCAGAGTGTGAGACCAAGATGCTCCAGGCTCCACAACACCTCCCTCAGCACCACACCGGCACACCTCCCCAGGTTTCCACCCCATGTGATGAAGAAGAGTGAACACTCACGCCATGAGGAAGATGCCTCCAGTGTTGGACACACAACCTCTTCCAGTTGGGGTGGCACGCTTGTCATAGCCAAACACGCCACAGAGCAAGCCCAGGTAGAAAAAAATGACGATGAGGGTCAGTAGGAAACAGGCAATCAAACCGCCCAGCCACCTGGGAAAGAAAGCACAGTGTTACCGTTACCATATGTCAGTCACATTGGTGATGGCTTCACAGGCCGAGTGCGAACTAAGGCTTGAGTAGTCGGGCCCTTCCAACACCCTTCCAACATCAAAGGATGAGACTGTGTGACAAGATCCCTTCCCAGCCCTAATTCCTAGCCCAGTTAGCCAAGATGCTTTCCCCTTGACTTTGAAGTGTCCTCTCCCAATGGTGGTGAGGAGTACCCTATGGGCCTCATAGTGGGCCTTCCTAAACTTCCCCAAGACCTTGATCAAAACACACCCAAGACTTTTAAGTCGTTTCAAGGTTCCCCATGCTGGAAGATATGGATGGAGCATGGTTAAACTGCAGACAAACAGCGAGCTCTTTTTCTTGGCCTTTCTCGAAAATCTTTGGGGCTGTAGGAATGTTCTGTGCGTCTCGTTCCTGAAGCAGAAACACTCTATGTGGCAGATGCACGAGACAGTTCGAATTTTATGGGCATCCTAAATCAAATGCCTGCAGAATGCAAATCTCAATTTCGTAATGGTTTTCTGGGACACATTTTAGGATAATGGATCCTCCATTAGTTCCTGCTGGCATTCCCGTAAAGTACACCAAACTTCCCAGCAGCCGAGGAACTTTCAAGGGTAGGAATGCTTCCCAACATTTAAGACACTAAAAAACAGAACGACTTGCTCCTGCTTGGGGCCTTCTGATAAAAGTTGTCACTGAAGCTTTTCACTCAATTAAAAGCAACTTTGGTAATTATTGTAATAGAAGGCATTCTGTGGGAGCTTTGATCCAAATATCAGGAATACAAAAATTAAATAAGCCATGGAGCCTGACCTCAGAAAGCTTTCAGAGTTAATGAATCAGATGGTTAGCTGCATTTCTTTTTAAAACAAGCTTGTAGCCCCAGGCAGAGGTGGAGGGAGGGAGAATGACTGGAAGACAGGCAGACAGGCAGACAGATAATTGTACTATTTTGTCCTATTTGAGAAACTCTGGCCCTAATGGGTTCGTGAGATTGTTAACTATGTCTGTCCCAAAGTCTGCTGGGGTGGCCAAGCCCCACAAGAAAGCATGCTATGCACGCCTGGAAACTTGTGGATTGTAGGGTAATGATCGACAGCATTGCCAGATGGGGTGGCCTTAAGTGAGTCACTTCCCCTCCATGAGCCCCAAAGTCCTTGTCTATAAGCCAGAGTTATGCAGGCAACATGACCCAATGGGTATTTGCAGAGCACTAAATGAGATGTCATGCACAGATTTCTTAGTGAACAAATTGAAACTCTTCCTCAAACACTTTCTCTTATAGCCCAACAAGAATGAATCTCTAGGCTCTCCCTGAGGTCTAGACTCAGCAGGTCCTGAGGCTGAGTCCTTCAGAGAGGAAATATACCTCTTACACGTCATGGAGCCACCCAAGTCCTTCCCTCCCCTGCTCAGTCTTAAATGACTGTTGTCAACCCCCAGGGCCAAGCCCCACCACCTGTGTTTTTTAAGTCCTAGCTCAGAGGTCACCTTAGTGATCTCAAGGCATAGCTAAAAAAAAAAACAGGTTCCTTCAGTAAATTCCAACCTCTGTGTATTTATTTTACATGAGAACATTTTTTTCATTTTAAGAAAAATTTATTTTTAAAAAATTTTATGGGTATGAGTATATTGCCTGCATATGTGAATGCACTGGTATCGTGCAATGCCCACTGAGGTCAGAAGAGGACATCAGATTCCCCTGGAAGTGGAGTCACAGACTATTGTTAGTCACCATGTGGGTGCTGGGAATTGAACCCAGGTCCTCTACAACAGGACCAGTGCTCCCGAGAATATTTTTTCAAATACGTTTCTTAATAACTTTTAAGCTTCCAAATCCCATGACATACCTGGCTACTAATTATAGCAAAGCTCTGAGAAGCTACGAACAACATCAACAACATTCTAAAGCGTTGAGTATTCCGCTGGAGAGTTTGCAGCGCCCAACTTTTGCTTTTAAATAAGGAGTGCTTTATGAATATGCACGTCCCCGTCACTCAGCAGCCAGGGTAACCACCTTGGTATCATTCCACCTTTATTCCATGTGCTGCCTCAGTGAGCATTTCAGTTTCGTGTGTGCATGTGCTTGTATGCAGGTGTATACACACGGGTGCACATGCTCCTGGAGGGCAGAGGTGGATGGCAGGTGTCTTTCTCAATCACTCTCTATTTTTTGAATAATCAGAATCTCTCATTGAATCCAGAGCTTAATTGCCTAGACTGGTTGGTCAGTGAGCTCCAGGGATCCATCTGTTCCCAGGGGCCCCCGCCCAAGAGCTAGGGTTATCAATGTGTATGTACTGCAGTGTCTGCCTAGACCTTTTTTTTTTTTTTCCAAAGATGTGGGTGCTAGGGATCCAAACTTAGGTTTTCATGGCAAGCACTTTACTGACTGGTCCAAGTCTCCAAGGCCCCTTCAGCTTTTGAAAATATTTAGTATTTTCATTTTATGTGTATGAGGTATTGCCTGTATGAAAGTGCACCCAGGCATGCAATGCCCAAGGAAGTCAGAAGGCATTGCATCCCCTGGAACTGGAGTTAAGGACAGCTGTTAGCCACCACGTGGGTGCTGGGAACCAAACCCTGGTCCTCTGCAAGAGCAACAGTGCTCTTAACTGCTGAGTCATCTATCCAGCATCCCCTTCAACTTTAAAAACAAAATTTATTATTTTATTTTATGTGTATGAGTGTAATGCATATATATATATATATATAAACATATGCACCCATGTCACATAATGTCCACAGAGGGCATCTGGAACTGGAGTTACAGATGGTTGTTAGCTGCCACATGGGTGCTGGGAACCAAACCCAGGTCCTCTGTAGGAGCAGCCAGTGCTCTTAACAGCTGAGCCATCTCCCCAGCACCCCCTTCAACTTTTTTAAAAGAACAAGAGCTAGATGCTGTCCACACCAGTTCAGAGCCTCTTAGTTTCATTTGTTTTTAGAAGGTTATCCTGGAAGGTTATCCAGATTGCTTTACCATTACGGAGCAAGCGTCACACTCCTCATTACCAGTTCTGAGGAGGCACTCACCAGTATGAGTCATATTCCTCTAGCCTGGGCATTTCCTCATAGAAGAGTCTGTTGCTGTTATTAAGTTGACCAGAGAGTTCCAGCAGCGTTTCTTCAATAGGAATATTCTGGCTAATATTGTGGATATCTGAGCTGATGGAATTCAAGACCTCTTTGACATCTGAAAACAAAGGGACCTCAGTTACTCAGTTTCAAAACCAGAGACCTTGTTTTGAGCCACTGAGGTTTTCCCATGTTGTATGTGGGTTTTAATAAGGGAAGATTATACACCAAGCATGAAGAGAGCCAAGACCACCTAGAAGAACAACCAAACAAAACAGGAAATGCAGGTGTGGACTCTTAGCAAAGTCAAGCCAGTTTTTCTCTTCTAACACCTTACAAGAAGAAAAGGAGGCGTGGGGAAGGCCGGGTGACTAAATGAAGGGTGTGCCTACATGTGCCAAGCACTTCTTGGCACGACATGTGCCAAGTAGATAGTAATGTTTCCTCACTCAGGTTAGTCCCCATTTAAGTGTGACCTTGAGGCTCACAGAGCTTGTTACTCATCCACAGTCTCTTAAGGAAAGCACTGCTGCTGTTGTTAGAAAGTCCTATTTTATGGCTTCAGAATAAATGAATAATTCTACCACTGAAGAAATGCCATTCCAAGGGAGGCAAGCTGTAATTCCCATACTTGGGAGGCAGAATCGGGCATATTGAGGTAAATTTAAGGCCAGCCTGGTTCACATAGGGAGAGAAATCAGAGGAGAAGGGAGAGAGAGGGAAGAGGTCAGGAAGGAAGGGGAGGGGAGGGCAGGGAAGAGGAAAAGAGGGAACAGAGAGGACAGGAGGAGGGAGGGAAGGGAAAGAAGGGGAAAGACAGGGCCAGAAAAGTAGAAAAATACAAATAAATGGTATTCATGGACATAGCAATTCTCCGGTATCATTTTTTGAACAAGTGACCTCAGGTGATATATTCATTAAACTTTTATTTGGGACTTATTGAAGAGACCCATTGGTGTCTCCTACATGTAAAGAACAAAGTAATGCCTCTGACCAAACATCTACTCAGATTTGGGAGCTTTCAGAGGAAATAAGTTCAAGGGGACACCAGTTTTTCTAGGCTATATTTGTCCATTCCAACAGATCTTGGATGGGAGCTACCTGGGTACACTGTGTCACCTGAACCAGCACACCCACAAGTTCTGAGGTTGGCTCCCAGCACAGACATACCAAGAACATAGCCATCAAGTAAGTCTACTGATCATGACTGGGAGAGAAATCACTTAGCAACACCAGACAAGATAAGCAGTTCTAAAAATAAGATCCCAGGGCCCTGATGAATGTTCAGTAAGCAGTCCATAATATGATCATATATAAAAATGGTGGGAACTTTTCCAAAAGTGTGCTTTTCACATATATTTGAAATCTGGAAACCCAAAACAGCTGAGCACCCCATGTCTGGAAACAGTTCATAAGGAGACCTGTGGTGGCTTGTTGCGTCTCCAAAGGGCTCTTGGGCCAAAGTCCCTACAGGTTTTTTAACTGCAGGACTCCATGGGCCATTTTTAACTGTGAGATTTTGAGAAATGTAATATGAAGACCTGTGTCTGCTATGAGCGGCTCCTTGGGGACCCGTCAACCCTTGGCCTGCCTTGGCTTCACATAAATTATAGAACAAAGCCAGCTTCCCAGCCTTGTCCTTCAGCAGCTGCACAGGTGGCTAACGCTGTTTCTCAGCAAATGCCTCCTTCAAGCCTCAGTTTGCACCATGTCTTACCCAAGAAGCCCCTGACCACGCTCTCCCCATCATGACTGACTACCTTGCACATGATCAATGGCACCTCTGTGCACAATTGGTTGAAGGACAGTCGGGTGTCATGCCTAACACCTTTCACATCCCCAACACCTGGAAGAGCCTGGCACAAAGTACGTACTTCAAATATTCAGACTAGGACTGAGGGCTCAAAGTGTGGGAGCCAAGGACATAAAAATAAACCCTTATGTTCAGCTGATAGAACGACACTTGCCCAGCCCTAGGAAAATGCTGCTCGCGCTTCAGCAATGACACCAGATACACGGGGCTTCGCTCATGCAGGCAGCACACTTACAAGGCAGGACTGCGCATATGGGAAGAAGAGGTCCAGAGAGGGGGAAACAAGAGATTAAATACACATATTAGTAAGCAGGCAGCTCTTAGACATCCAGCATGCAGTAGCTTTCAGATGTTACCTAAGGAAAGCATGAACCTTGTCTTAGTATCTACGGAGTAGAATCTTCTAGGAAACAAAAAGGACATCTAAAGCACTGTGCGATAGGATGAAATATTCCTTACCCAAACTCTAATGGCATTGAAAGAAAGCCATTAAAAAGTAAACTGAATACTGCTAATATAACATCTTTCTTAAAACCACTTGGCAAATAGATAAAAGAAGCTCTGAGAAGATGATTTTAAGAGAGAGAGAGGGAGAGAGAGAGAGAGAGAGAGAGAGAGAGAGATGAGAGAGAGAGAGAGAGAGAGAGAGAGAGAGAGAGAGAGATGATCTTACACAGCTTCATGCAAATAAACCCAAGTTTATTCCCATCCTGGCACAAAGAGCTGCTTACATGACATTCTGTCTGTACATTCACCCCACAACACAGTAACCTGAACACAGCATAGTTGAGCTATTTTAAACCTTAGGATTCCCTCAGCATAGATTCTGTTCTTCCAAAACTCTAGGCAGTCTTAGAAGCCCCAAAGGCCATCACATCAACCCCATGGACAGAAGGAAAATGCTTCCCCCAAAGACAAAACTAATCCTTACACACAGTATTTCCTAAAAATAAGTGAATAAAAAGATTTTAATTTGGCCTGGCGTGGTGGCACATGCCTTTAGTCCCAGCACTTGGGAGGCAAAGGCTGGCGGATCTCTGTGAGTTCAAGGCCAGCCTGGTCTACATAGTGAGTTCCAGGACAACTGGGCTACAGGAAGACCCTGTCTCAAAAAAAAAAAAAAAAAAAAAAAAAAAAAAAAAAAGGTTTTAATTTATTTATAGTTTATTTAGGAAGTTTAGTAATCTATGGAGTTTTTCTGCCCAGGGAAAATAACTGCAACATGACCCTCTAAACATCAGTTATTGTAAGGTCTGGAAGAGCCCAGGACAAGGAGTCACGCCACTGTCACATTCACCACAGTGTCCGTGGGCCAGCAGCAGGAAGGCACCACATTAAATAAGAGGTTTTGCTGGGTTTTCCTCCCACCTAAACTACATCACTGACTGCAGATGGCATAATTAGAAACTTCTGAGACTCATTTCATCCTCAAGATTTTAGTGAGAGACTATTTCTTAAAACCAGAAAAGAAAAATATAATCTATACCAATCTCTTCCTTTATCCTCACCAAGCACAGACTTCTTAACAAAGACAGACAGAACTGAACTATGACTCTCACCTGTGACGACAATCATGCTTTGGTTTCGTACCACATCAGGTATTTCATCGATCAATGCACACCTCTAAAAAATATTTCAAAATAAATTGACAATCAGTTGGTCTATAGTCAATTTTTTTCAGTTTTGTATCAAATAGAAGTAAAACTAAAACATAAATTTTATCATAAGGCTGCAATTACCTTAATACAATCATCAGGAACCTAAAACATTCCCCATTAGAAAGCCCCGTTCCTTTTTTATGGTAGGAGTTGAACCCAGGGCCTTGCACATGTCTTCTACCACATCAGGCATTTCATTGAAATAAATGCTTTGTCACTGAACTTTCCCCACGCTGAGAGCATGTTCTTTTAACTGAAAAATCAGAGCTCATGGAGAGTGACTGAGGCAAGAGCAGTTGGAACAAAACCAAAGAAAGATAAAGACATGTTTTCACCAAGGAAGTAAGAACTACAGGTCACTGGAACGGTGAAGATGCTGAGCAAAGACATTCAAAGGGAAAATATATAATAAAATTAGTGATTTTTTTAAAAAAGCATCTCTGATAGGGTAGTGCCATCATCAAAAAACGAAAAGAAAAAAAAAAACATTATCTCACATAGCACCTAGGAATTGGTACAGATAAACACAATCGATTGATACCAGTGGCTCTCATGCAAGGGGACTTCAGTGGAGAGGCGGTCATTGAAGACATATCTATCATCACAGCTTTGGAGTGCCACTGTGAGCAGGAGAGCTCCCCAACAAAAAAGGGCTGTCTAGCCCAAAGTGCCAGGAGAGCTGAGCTTAATGAACCCTGACCTGCAGGACAATCCATGCACAGACACAAAGAGAACATCTTAAAACAGACTCTTACCTGCCAAGGCAATTATGAAATACAAGGTTGCATAGCACAGAAGGAAAAAATGTTCCTAAGCACAGCTGATAGCATCTACAAATGGTAGTGAAGCCAAAACACAGCTCCAAACAATCATGTCCTGCTACGTGGTCTGGGAGCCAAATCATGAGGAGAAAAAGTCCTTCTAAATGCCCAGCCTGTCCTCTTCAGGGACTTGGTTTCTGTTTCACGGTTAATGTGGCCAGTCATCTGCTGGGAACTCTGTAGAGTTTACAGACTTCATAAGACACACAGTGCTGCCAAAATTCCATTTAAGCAGAGCTGTGTCAAATTCTATCTGAGAGCCCTCAAATTCCATTTCCTCAAAGGTGACAAAGCTATATAGTTCATGCTGGATTTCTATAAGTTTGACTCTTCCATGGTTAGACACATTTGGACTTACAGATGTCACCCATAGGAGGGGATTTCTGGCTGGAGGGAGCCTATGGTTAGACTGGTACACTCCATCATTAAACAAGAGATACCAATGTTCCAAGGCCAAGAATGTTGAATGACTTAAGAAGATATTTTGTCAGTCAATATAAACCACTACTAAACAGACATTGAGAATTCTTACAGTCGTGCTTAAAGACACAGAGTAAAGAATAAAATTATTCTCTCCTTTTCCTATAGGCCCAGGGCATTCTGAGTGTTTCTAGAATGAGATATTTAGTGTGTACTCAGTATCTATGGACTGAAAAAACTCCTGGGGAAGTTGTGGTGTTCTTGGCCAACACTATCCCTGCTTTTTAGGGGGGTTTACAGTCCAGTGGGAGGACAGAAGTGCTAAAGGGAGTTATATGCATAACTATAGTGAGGACATGGCTTAGAAGATATTTGCAATTTTGTAATAATGTATTCAAATGTTGACTTAGTCAAAGGAAAGGCCTTGTTAAGAAGATAATATGGGACTAGAGAGAGATGGCTTAGCATTAAGAGCACTGGGGGGCGGCTCTTGCAAAGGACCTGGGTTTGGTTCCCAGAACCCATATGGTGGTTAACAACTGTCCTTAACTCCAGTTTTAGGGAATCTAAAGTCCTCTTCTGGCTTCCAGGGACATAGCACAACATGGGAGCATTTACATGCATGTAGGCAATATTCTCATACACATAAAATAAAAAAATATTAAAATATTTTTTTAAAAGAAGATGATATAGGGGTTGGAGAGATGGCTTAGTGATTAAGAGCACTAGCTGCTCTTACAAAGGACCTGGGTTTGGTTCCCAGCACCCTCGTGGTGGCTCATAACTGTCCATAACGCCAGATCCAGGGGATCTGATGCTCTCTTCTGACCCCCATGTGCATTGCAGGACAAGGGCACATTTTCATACATATAGGCAATATACTTATACACATAAAATAAAAAAATTTTTAAAAAGGAGGTGATATATAAAGCTCAGTGGTACAGTGTGGACTTAGCATGTGCAAAGCCCTGAGTTACATTCCACACACACACACAAAAAAGAATAAAATAAAATGTTAACAAAGTGATATATGAAGGTTAAAATTTAAGTCACTAGACAAAGGAGAGGGAGAAAAGAGAATGCCAGGTTGAGGACCCAGTACGTGCAGAGGCATGGAGTTAGGAAGGAACAAAACTCAAATCAGCACGGCACGAGGCAGTACACTTATCAAAAATAATGTGAACTGTGCACTGCACCCACTGCTGAGGCCAGGAAAGCAGAGGCCATACCCATCATGCACTTTCTTTATGTCCTATGTTCTTGCGTACCAGATTATCCTTGGTATAAAATAAGCTACTATTGGGGATGGAGAGATGGCTTAGCAGTTAAGAGCACTGGCTGCTCTGGCAGAGGACCCAGGTTCAGTTCCCAGCACCCTCATGGCAGCAAACAAACATCCTTAATTCCAGCTCCAGGGGATCTTGCGCCCCTTCTGGCCTTCATGGGTATTGCACAAATATGGTGTACATACAGACATGAAGGCAAAACACTCATACTCATTAAAAAAAAAAAAAATCGAATTATTACAGTTGTTCCAAAAACCATACCTGTTTTATGAGGGCTTCCAAATCAGTTCTAAGGATATCAGTAACAGTGTTGAGTTCTCTATCCACAGAAGGGAGCTGAAAATTTATAAAACAAAATATTAGGCTAAGATAGCTACCCCCAAAATTAGCCTTCACAAAAAGGGAGTTATCTTATACCAAGTCCCAGAGTGTGCTATTTACTGTATGGTTCGACCTCACTTTCCTTTGGGCAATAGAATATGGTTTGGGGAAAACTGTTCTGAATGGCACCGACAAGCTCTAGTTTTCAAATGTTTGCAGGTCTGCTGAAGTCAGCTAAAAATGAGGCAAAGAAATTCAACACAGATACTATAATTACGGCTTCCCAATTGCAAGTGCAGAATATTGTTGAATAAAGTTGTGAGGAACCTTTTAAAAAATCACGTTTAAAAGTAATACAGGGGCAGGGCTAGAGAGATGGCTCAGTGGTTAAGAGCACTTACTGCTCTTCCAGAGGACCCGAGTTCAGTTCCCAACATTCATTTTGGGCTACTCACAACTGGCTATAACTCCAGTTCCAGGGGACCCAAACCTTCATCTGTCCTCTTCAGGGAACCCCACACATGGCATACACTAGCATGGATATACATGCTTACACTTAATAAGATCTTTCGAAATAAAATTTAAAAAATTACTACAGAGGCCAAGATTGTGGCTCAGTATGGGGAAACACATATACTCTGGGTCAGATCTTCAACACCAAACTAAATAAGTAAATAAACAAATACTAAATTTAAATAATGCAGCTAGTGGTTACCCAGTGGAAATTCTGGTTTCCATGTCCATAATTATACACAGGTTTGAAGTATGTGCTAGCTCTTAAGAGACCATTGCCCTGTGCTTTGCATCAAGACACCAAGGGAAGACTCAATATGACTTCTGAGGAGAATGTGGAGAACTTAAGTTTACGCATCAGAGGACACCAGACAAACCTAACTGAAGGCTACTCTACAAAATAAATAGCCTGCTTGAAAATGTCAATGTCACAAAAGAAAAAGACCAAGAAACAGCACCAGATTTAAGGGACAGAAAAAGATGCTAGTGACAAGGCAAGACCTTGGGCCACAAGACAAGATGGTTGTATAGGACATGCTCAGAAGAATTGATGGCTTTCAATAGAACCTGTGGAGTAGATGGAGGTACTGGGTCTTTGTTCTGGGTCCTAATTTTGATGCATGTAGGATGCTTATGCAAAGCTGAGAAATATATTAAACTATTTAGGTATAAAGGAACAAGTCAGGGCTAGAGAGATGGCTCAGCAGTTATGAGAACTGGCTGCTCTTTTAAAGGACCCAGGTTCAATTCCCAGCACCCATATGGCAGCTAACAACCACCCTAACTCCAGTTCCAGAGGATATGATGCCCTCTTATGGCCTTCATGGGCATTGCATGACATGGGTACACTTAGATACATGCAAGCAATATACTCAAACACATTTTTTAAAAAAGTAAAAATAAAAAAGGAGTAAGCCCCCAACTATCCCAAACCTACCTGTCAAGAGAACTCCATACATTTATATAGTGATGTAAATAAGTAGGTAAGTGGGGTAAAATGTTCACCTTCGTGTCCTAGTTAGCTTTAATTGTCAACTTAACACAACTTAGAGTCATCTGAGAGAGAAATGTCCGGATCAGCTTGACCTGCTGCTATGTCTGAGGGAGACTGTCTTGATTGCTAATTGGTGTGGGAGGGCCCCGCCCACTGAGGATGGCACCACCCTGGGCAGGGGTTCTAGACAAGACAAGAAAGCTGGTAAGTCTGATCCTGCCACCAGGCAGCCAGCAGCATCCTCAGCAGCTTCTGTGTCCAGTTTCTGCTTGAGCTCCTGCCCTGACTTCCTCCAATGATGGACTGTAACCTGCAAGGGTAAGCCAAATAAATCCTTTCCTCTCCTAAGTTGCTTTTGGTCTGAGTGTTTTATCATAGCCACAGAAAGGAAACCAGAACACTTGGAGAATGTGAAGTCTTTGAAATTGAACTGATTCATAAAATATGAACATTAGTCAGATGTGGTAGCTCATGCCTTTAATCCCAGCACTCGGGAGGCAGAAACAGGCTGATCTCTGTGAGTTCAAGGCCAGCCTGGTCTTCATAGTGAATTCTAGGCCAGCTGGGGCTACAGGGAGACCCTAACTCAAAAAGACCAAAAAAAGAAAATATGAAAATAAGAAAAAGTATATAATAAAATATTGTTTTATATAGGGGCCAGGTGTAGTGGTACATGCCTTTAATTCAAGCACTTGGGAGGTAAAGGCAGGTGGATTTCTGGGAGATCAAGGCTAGCCTTATCTATATAGTAATTTCCAAGACAGCTGGGGCTACAAAGAGACCCTGTCTCCAAAAAAAAATTTTAATGTAAGACATGAGTGGTTATGTACAAATAAATTAACAAATTAACAAATTAAACATAATATAAATGAACATTTTTCTACATCATTGCCTACTATTCAGCCCAAGTGGTTAATATACCTAGTTTTAAAATATACTTTGATTTCAAATTCTACCAGAATGTATTCTGTTTCTCTTTTTTTTCAAGCTGAATTCACCCTGATGTGTCTTCTAACAGCAAAGAATTCACCAAAAGGGATTGGGCTCCCTGACAGGTTTCCAATCCCAAATCCTCAGCCCTAAACACATATACACACAAACACCACCAAATGGGCTCAGTGGGTTGTGTGCATTTGAAAAATCATGCATTTGAGAGCGAGTCAGGGCAGGGCATGGGAGGACTGGGGGTGGTGAAAATGATGTCAATTCAGTACTCAAGTATGAAGTTCTCAAAACATTTAAAATAAAAAAGGGAGTCCCCTTTCACATCTTGGCTCTGCTGCATCCATCCCAACGTGGTGAACATATGTCCAGAACAGGCTGACAGGGTTCCACAGGCCACTGTTTTCCAACCCAAGCCACTGTGCACCAAGAAATGTGCACTCAACCTTAGCACTGCTGGGCCTCCCCATAGCAGCTCACCTGACTGAGGCCGGGGTTGCTCTCTAGATTGCTTAGCGATGTCCTGATGCCATCACAGACCCTGCTGGCTGGTCCTGAAGTGCAGTCACTGTTGTTGAGTGAATTCTCGATGTCATTTTTCACATTGGTCAGGCTGTTGCTAAGCTGCATGCTTCCATCCTGCAGGCTCTGTAGGCTGCTGTTCATGTTCTCCAGGGCAGCCTTGGCCTCTTTGATTGCTGTGGGAATACAGCCCAAATCAGAACAGGCACCAGAGTGTTCTAAAGAAACTGGAGATGAGCTCAGATGGGGCAATCTGACAAGATATACAAAGGCAATGAGAGTTCCTTGCCAGCTCCATGACACAGCTCAGCTCTCCTCTGTGGGGTCTCTTGTACCAAGTAGGAGCTGAGCACCAAGCCAGGAACCTCAGGGGGACACCCTGAGTAAGTGTCATTATCTGGTAAGTAAAGTTGTTTAATCCACATAAGAACTGATCACATCCATATTTTGGCTGTGAGTATTCAAAAAGCTAGAATTTACCAGCCAGAAGCAGGCAGGTGGAGACAGGGCAATGCGGAAGGTCAGTGAACGAGAGCAAGGTACAGTGACACACATGGGAGGTGATAGGAGTTAGCGAGATAGCGCAGTAAGTAAAGGCACTTGCTGCCAAGCCTGATGGCCTAAGTTCAATCCCCGGGACCTGTGTAGTAAGAGGAGAAAACTGATTCTTCCAAGTTGTCCTCTGATCTCCACATGTGCACCACAGCATTCACACACCCATACGCACATGCACACACACAATAAGTACATATACATACAAACAAAATAAATACACACAAATAAATGTAAAAACGAAAGGAAAATGCCATAATGAAACCCATTACTTTGTATACAAGCCTCAAAGAATAAAAAAATGAAAAGTTAAAAGAAAAATAGCATCCGCTCTGCTACCCTCGGCTGCACATCCCACCAGCCTGTTTCCTGGACTCTAGAGCTGAGCTCTCCATCAGGGGCCACCACTTCTTCCTGATCCTTTGCATCCAGACGGACCCAATTCCTTCTAGAGGTCCCCAGGAGCCCTCTGGGCCTGGTCCCGCCCTCACCTCCCCCTGCTTCCCTGGGCTCACGGCCCACCAGCCTCCTTCCTGGACCCCGGGGCTGAGCTCTCAGCAGAGGCCACCACTGCTTCCTGATACCTTGCATCCAGACTGACCCAGTTCCTTTTCAAGGTCCCGCCCTCACCTCCCTCTGCTTCCCTGGGCTGCACAACCCACCAGCCTCTTTCCTGGACACGGAGGCTGACCTTTCCTCTTCCTGATCCTTTGAATCCAGACCAACCCAGTTCCTCAGTGCAGTCCTCAGGAGCTCTGGGGCTGCTTCCTGCCCCCATGTCCCTTTGTATGTCTGAGTGTCACGGCCACCAGCTGCCCTATCCCAGCACCTTTCCGGGCCCTGCTCCGAGGCCAGTCCAACCTCCAAATTCCTGAGGTCAAAATCTTTCCTGGAGGGATCCAGACCTTAGGAGAAAGCCTTAGAGCATCTGATCCTCATCTGACTTGGGCCTCTGTGGGAACTCCTGAAGACAAAAGCAATCTGGCCACTCCAATATAAAATCAAAAGAGAGAACCAGAAGCTTAGAGGAACC